TAGGACATTGAAGTAAAAAATGTACCTCTTCCCTTACTTGGTTTAAATCACAGAACTGACAAAGCCGGTTTACAGTTTTTGAAAATTTCATATAGTAAAAGGATTTTTTTTTTACCTTTTTTGAGTTATATTTATTACACCCATTTAGGATTAAAGGCTTTATAGTATGATCAAAATTATATATGAAGAAGACTACAAACTGATGGTGATGACGATTTTAGATCTCGATATAATTTGAAGCAAGCTTTTAGTTCCTTTTCATAAAGATCTTTTCTGGCTTCATTAAAATTTTCAGTATTACTCAGTGTTATTCCTAAATATTTATAAAATTTAACACATTCTATATCATTATTACCAATTTTAAAGTTTTCTTTTTGTAACCTACCAGTTTATTTAAACAATTATCACTTTAGTTTTTTTTCACATTTATCTGTACGCACCACTTTCACAGTATTTATAAAGTGTTTTTTGTTTGTTTTGGAGTCCTCTTATGTGTGTGAGATTAAAACCAAGTCATCAGCATATAAGACAAGATTTTTTTTTTTTTTTGTCATTCAGTTTAAGACATTCAGCTTTTCTTCTAATAAAGAAGATATTTCATTTATAAACACATTAAATAAATTGGGACTGAAGACATCCCCTTGTCTCACAATGACTTCTGATGTGAACAGAATAATACCTCTTCCTTTACTTGACTTGGTTTAAATCACAGAACTGACAAAGCCGGTTTCCAGTCTTTGATAACCAATTCTCCAATGTAAATTAACCTGAAAGGTTCAAGTTTTTCTCCTATGGTTATATTTAGGACATTGAAGTAAAAAATGTACCTTTTCCTTTACTTGGTTTAAATCACAGAACGGACAAAGCCGTTCACATCTGGGTAATGGTTCTAGTTTTCCAAGAGAGTTGTATTTTCTCTCACGTCTTTCAGTTTTTACCCTTAGAAAATGATTTCTTATTCTGAATTGAGATAGCATTGACCGATTATCTATATTTCTTTTTTCTCCGAGTACTGAGTAAAGTTTTATGACCGAGAGCCCTTGTCATCATCTTGATACATACTTAATCAGATTTATCCATAGAATTTAATATATTGTAGTAATAGCAATTCAAATTATATTTCAATAACTTTTTAACAGCATTTATCTCACCTCCTATAGATTTCTGGAGATATGATTGGTTAAAGGACTACACGTGGTGACTACATATATATTTATTTGATATAGGGTGTCCTAAAAATATGGGGTTAGTAAGGAGTTACTTCCCTTTCAAAACAAAAAAGAAATGCGAACGGTTTCAACAGACGAAGAAATTGATAATGAACGATTGAAATAAATTCATGAAACAAAATTATTTTCATTTACCTGTGTTTAAAGTAATTGCAAATGGCTGATATTTATGTTTAAGCATATTGTTTTTCTTATATTGTTTAACATTTCACAGCGGTATAACATGTTACTTTAATTATTCTTCCCTTAGTTTATTTTGTATTTACATTGTATCATAGATCAATAGCTATACCCCTATAATTTTCAGATTGCTTTGGTTCACCCGATTTAAAAATTGGGCAAAGGTAGCTTTCTGACCACTTTTCTGGATGACTTGATCTGAAAACAGCTTTAAATAGTTTTAGTAAATGTGGATTCTTACATATGTTTGTGAAGCTTTTGTCATTTTGTTACTTCTCTTTAATTTGGAGAAGGCTTTTTGCAACTCCGAAGATGTTATATCATTATTTAATGTTGAGGAATATTCAGTTTTTGTTTCCAATTCTCCTTTTTTTTTTTACTTTGTCCGATATATTACATTGCCGAATTGAAGAAAAATTGGAGAAATATTTTAACAATGTAACAGCTTCAATGCTATTTTCAGGTTTTTCCTTTTGTTCCTCGCGTAGAGTATTTACTTATGACCAATATTCTTTTGGATAGTTAGATCGAAGATTATCAAGTTGATCTAGAATTGATTGTTTAAAAATCTTTCCTCTTTTTTTTTTTCGTAGTTTAGAATACTTTTGTAAGTTTAAAGAAGGAACCAATTGGAGCATTACAGCCGTCAACAGTGTGAAAATCTCATATCGTATAGACAGATATAAAAGGTCACATAAACATGTGAAACATTTCAAATGAGAAAACTAACGAACCAATTAATTTACCAGTTTACCATAACAGTACAAAACTCAAATATAACAGACATGAATCAACAACCACTCAATTACCACTGCGACTATTATGTCCCAGATTATAGACTCCCGGTTTGGGACAGGCAAAACTAGAAGAATGTGGCGAGTGTTTGCTCTTGTCACTAAAATCCTCCTCAAGTACGGGAAGCCATAGATTCGACTCCAAAGCTGGGTTAAACCAGACTTGAAAATCGGCATTAGCTGCTTTCCCTAAAGCTCACGGTAATAAGAGCAATGATTGGTCGGTCCGGATTTAGAATGTCATTGTATTCGTGGACACCTAGGACAATTACAGGACATAATCAATATATTGGTCCCAGAACATACTACATTGTGTGGGTCAAGGTCAATAACTAACCCCATACGATTTCTGTGAAAAATTTAGCTGGTGAATTTCATCTTGGTGATGATATCAGAAGGTAATAGGTAAAATCTTTAAATTCATTTAGTAGGAAGCTGAATTTCAGTGTCAGTCTTGGTTGGAAATCTTTAGAAAGTGTTGACTATGCACGTTTTATGTGGTTGTTGAATATTTTCTGTTGGTATTTCGGCAATAAGGGTATACCTTCACAAAATAAAATCATTCGGTTTTGTCTTTGCCAATAAATCAGGGGTTATAGTTCGATTTGGTTTAGGATTTGAAGTCATTCTACTTGGTTTGTAACAGTAGTTAAGATGTTGTGAATCTTTGTGCTCTTTTCTGAACATTTTCTAGGACAAACTAGATTGGTCCCTTGACGTTGTACGCCTGTAACTATCCCTCCATAGGCTTGGAATTTGTTAAATTAAACTAATCTCATTTGCGACACAACATCTTGTGGTGGTGAACAACTATTAAAAGCATCATTTCTGGATTTGTCCATAGTAGTTTCGATTTGAATTTGTGCTTTACTTAGCCTTCAGGAATCAAGAGTACCATTCAGATTAGACCTGTACTTTGTACCAATCTAATGATTCAAAGTTTTTTGGGAATATTTAATAAAAATTATTGCGACCTTCAAACTAAATATAAATTTTGTTTCTAAACATATTTAAAAGGTGGACAATAAAACAAATGCATCATTATTGAACACAATACAGTACTTGCTAGGTGTTAACCAATTCATCATAGAACTTGACTGCAGGTATAAACAGCGACAATGACCTTGCTCATGACATCTTATAGTAGTTTTAAAATAAGTAATCAAAACAATCCTACAAGAAATGTAGGTGTGGGAGTGCTTACAATTCACATTACTATATACTCTATATATTTCCAAGGGGCATAACTCGATATAAATTTCATAACAATCCTATATGTTATGTAGGTGTGAGTGCCAACAGTACATTTTTCTATATAATATATATTTTCAAGATGCATTACTTCTTTTAAAATAGTTTATCAACACTTATTTTTGAAATGGTCGGAGACATTGCAATTTTGTATAGAATTTACACTTCCAACAGATATAATTCAAGAAAAAATAATTGATCAACCCATTTTTTTTTTAACTATCCCAGATATTACCAACATAAACCTTCAATATAAATAATTTAATTTTATTATAATCCTGCAAGAAATGTACCAAGCTCGAAAGTACTTGCAGTGCAATTTTCTATATAATTTATAATTACAAGGCCTTTAAAATAGTTCTTTGACACTGATTTCAACTTGTCTCAAGTATTATACATATAAAGCACTCACAAGACTGGATGGATGGATAAATGTCCATCATTTCTATGGTTCTGGCATCTTGTTGTGCAGGGGACAATAATTGGAGAAACAGATTCTACTGGGGTGGTGGGTTAAAATCTATATTTATCTATTGTTGAACACCATATTTTAACCACTAGATTAATATTGTTGTGGAGTTGCTGTTTCACTAATGCATATCCCATTCCTTTACTCATGATCCATGAAATATGTTGGGTATAAGCGAAGATTGTCAAAAAAAATGTTACTGACATCAATTCAACCACTATTGAATTTCAAAGGAATAGAACTTCTTTTTTGCCATAATAGAACTTCTTTTTTGACATCTTCAAAACATATTTAAATGATCTTTCTTATCAGTTAACTTTAGGGCAAATGATACAGATACAGGGGAGATAGTTACATTGCTAACCTAAAATGTTACTTTTCGTGACGTCAAACTGTGACATATCGAGATTAGATGCATTTTTCGACTGACCTTAATCAATAGCTTGAAAACTAGTATTTGTACCTCTCTTTATAAAAAATGTCATTTGGCCTTGATTATGTATGAAGATTATTTGTACCAATTTTTAGGAACAAATCACCGATGATTTTTTAAAAAGTAGATAAATATACAGTCAAAAATGCTGGTTTTCCTAAAATCATGGCAATTTAATAAAAAAAATTATTATTTCCTTATGATTGTTACACAAGTTTTCTGCATAATTATGTAAAGAAGATATTCACAATATTTTTACAAAAATCTGCTTGTGTTTATCTTTTGAAATAAAAGTTAGGTATGTCTTTCCAAAAGATAGAAATGTGCACGAAACCGCAATTCTTAGTAAATGTCTAAATTTTCTACCCATCTTTCTCTTAAAGTAGCACAGCGAGGCATATTTTTTAATAAATTTTTGAATTAACTGGGTGAAAAATAGATATTAAGCAAATTTACATCAAAAATTCAACGTAGGATCAAAACTGTATCTCATGCCCTTAAATGTGTATGTTCAAAGTATTCTAAATTGAAATTCAACTGCATATATATTTCCATGCTCTAAGTGTAATTAAAATCTGCCCTTCTATTAACTTTGAATAAACAAAAACTTGAGCCACTATATTGGATTTCATTCAACACATAAAATGTCTTGACATGTATTTAATACAAAATAAATACACAGGCAACATAAGCTGCAGCCACATCCATCTCTGTATACACCATCACTGAAATAATACAAAATAAAATAATATTATTAATATACTTTATATATGACATCCAATCTCCTACTCAACTCACTAATTGACAGCTGTATGTTATACATTCCATTTTTTTACTTCATTTTCAAAATAAATAATGTCCTCTATAATCAATCACATTTGCTTTAAAGTAAAACAAGGATGAAGCAATAGAATACATTTACATATGACCTAATATTACATATATAAGATTCAAATATCTTAATGTTTTTTATGCTTGAATTTACCATTTTACATTTAAATTGTTAAAAAAATTAATAAAAGTTAACTGCGTTGTGTATTAATAGTTATTCAGCATAATTCTTTCTGCACTCAAGATTCTTTTAGCTTTGGTATGTCAGATATCTAATAGCTGTGCCATGTGCAGAAACGGAAAAAATGGAAAATCAAATGGTTAGAAAGGATGTGCATATAGTTGGTAGTTAATGCAATTGATAAACCTATACTTGTTTACTTCCCAAAATGAAAGTAAATAAAAAGCATGATTTATTCAAAGACTTAACATAACTATTGGAATTAACATCCCAAACTTAATGGAACCAACATTTTAATGAATAGCAATTCTATATATCCATTAGATTTATTTTTCAAAGAGAATAACAGCAAAAAGACTTGGATCTAAGAGATGTCAAGAAAGATTGATTTATGATAAATTTTTGTTCCATTTAATCAGACTTGAAAGTAAGATTGAAACAACTTTGAAACTTGCATTAATCTTGAAATAACAATCCTGATACACTAAATAATCTATCAGGAAAAGATAACCATGGTTGTCCATTAGCTCCATTCTGAGGATACTGGCTTAAATAAACTGTGGACAGAAATACATCTTTTGTCTTTATGTATACTGATAGTATAATGAAAATATTGAAATTAAAATGGTAATACACTAAATATGCAAACATTCATAGTCAATGAGCGAGCCATGACTGAAGGTGCAGGACCAAAAAACCTCAAAGTAAATCAGAAATACTTATAATGCTAATACAAATTGCATACCAACTATCCTTGACTTATCATAAGTGGTTCCCTTAAAACTGACATAAACACAAGCTTGAACATGTAAACTATGCAAAAGTTTCAAAGTCAATGAACCATGATGAGGGGGTAGGGCCATAATCTGCAGTCAAATAAGACCCCAAATGCTTATACAACTGCATACCAAATATCATTAACTTACCATTAGTCATGTTAGTGGAACATCTTAAACTGACCTAATCACAAACTTAAACAATAAAACTATTCAAAAGTTTAAAGCTCAAAAGATCATGACTGACATGGCTGGGCCAAACATGGAAATGAGTTGTGCCAATGGTAATAAAAAAATAAAAATAAAATCTGTCCCATTCCTAATCTTGTAGAGGTACACTTTTCAAAGTCATGAGTCAAACCAAAGTTTTATATTGCCACAAATAATAACAACCGAAAACCACTATGACAATAAAATGAACAATCTAGTGCTGGACTTTTTTAAACTAAAAAATAGTAGTTAATCATAGAAAATATTATTTCTAAAGTTATGTTTAAAGCAGCAAAGAAATGCAGTGTGTAATTTAAACTTCTACATTTTAAGAAAATAAAGTTTCAAAGACAAAATACATCAATAACAAATTAAAATCTGCTGAAAGACAACAATACAGACACATGTATACAAAGTAAAAGAACAAGAAAAGCTATAACTGAGGGTTTGACACGTTTAGTAATGTAATCAGATTTTACAGAGCCTCATTCTTTTGAAGTTGTAAAACTTGTTTTATATTTTATTGAGTTTAATACTTCGGTTTTTGTGACTAAAATTAGAATTACATTTGCTTGCCATAGATTGGCTGTCCTTCCCATTATCAAAATTCTACCCCCCCCCCCCCCCCCTCCCCCCACCAAAAAAAAGTAAATTAAAGGGAAGCATTTTTTTTATTGTGAAAGATAGAAGTCAAACATCCCTTTTTAACATCTGGCATGATGTATTTTAGTAAAATGTCCAGTCTAACCTTAGCAAATGATTATCGAGTTATCAATTGTTTTTTACTTATTTTTACTTTACTATAATGCAAAAAAAAATTGGAATTTTCAATTGGTTCGATGACAGACTTATTAGTCTTTAATACTGTTAAATTAAACAGGCATATTAAATAAACAGCTGTGCCATGAGCGCATGATACGCCCGTTGCATTTTTACAAATAAAGTTCAATAACTTCACAATGTCATATCAGAAATTTGTGAAAAACTAAAGGGAGGTTATCTTAATTGATATAAACCAGTCACCAAAGTTTAATGAAAACTGCTCAAAGCACTTTAAAGGAATTGTATGAAAACTAGAAAATCACCCCTTTCTTATGAATAAAATCCCATAACTCGGAAGTGTAAAATCTAAAATTTATAAAAATTGAAAGGGAGCTTACATCAATAGATATAAACAATTCTCCAAAGTTTCATGAGAATTGCTGAAAGCATTTTTGAGTTTTGTCCGAAAACTGGAAAATTCCCCCTTTTTTTAATGAATAAAACTCCATAACTCAGAAACATAAAATCTTAAATTTATAAAAATCAAAAGGGAGCTCATGTCAATAGATATAAACAACTGACCAAAGTTTCTTGCAAATTGGTGAAAGCATTTTTGAGTTATTGTCTGAAAACTGGAAAATCCCCCCTTTTTTAATGAATAAAACCCCATAACTCAGAAACATAAAATCCAAGTTTTATAAAAAACGAAAGGGAGCTCACATCAATAGATATGAACAATTCACCAAAGTTTTATGCAAATTGGTTGCAGCGTTTTTGAGTTAATGTTCGACATGTAGACGATGGACTGACAATGGTATACCATAATTCGTCCTGTAAACGGGCGTATAAAATCTGCACCCTCCCTTAAAATCCTTAAATACAGACATGTTTGTCCTTTTATCAAGTGTCAAACCCTATCAGACAGATTAGCCTATGACTTGCTCTTTCAGATACTGGACACCTCAGTCCATGCTCTTTTTACTTTTTTTTTTTTTTTATCAATTTCAGTTTTCAACTTGCACATGAATATAAAATGTCTATAGTGAGAAATATTTGCAGATTGTTACAGTTGAAATAATATAGCATATGCAAGTCAAGAGTTTAAATGCCTTGCTTGCAAACTTTGTTTGGCTGTTTAATCAGACATTGTAATTAAGATTGACACCTAAATTCAATGGGTAGGCGGAGTAACAGTCTGTTTACTATAGCTCACAATCATTGGCCTACCCATTTAATTTAGGTGTCAATCTTAATTACAATGTCTGAGCAAATAACCAAACAAATTCTGCAAGCAAGGCATTTAAACTCTTGATTTGCATGCTTTATTATTTCAACTGTAAATAATAACTGTGCATTACTTTAAAACTTTTTGACATAAATAAAAAAATATAAAAGTCACAAACTGATTTTCCTGAATAAGGATTCAGTAAGATCTTTGCAACTTTAAATTTAAATCATACATTGACTGATACTACCAAATAATCGAATACTATGTTACCAATAACAGTGCCATAGAATATTAATTTCATATGATTTCTGCAACTATTTTCTATTCATATACAGGTGGTTAGTTTAGAAAATTTTATTCACTTCAAAACAGATTTAACTGTGAAAGAAATCAAACATTCACTATAAATCTTAAGACTTAATTCTTGGTTTAAGAACAAGCATATACAGGAGCACCTGTTGATCAGTAGAGTAGTATTAATGATATGCAAGGATTTCACTCTGAAGATAGATATATATACAAGGCAAAGCCACTCAAGTCTTACCATCTTTCATCTGTATATTTATTTCTGAAAAGTGGGATTTATAATGACATACATGGAAAAATTACAGTTGCAGTACTCAGTAAAATGATATTTAACCTATAATGCAACTCTAATATAATACATACAAATTTCCATTCAACAGTTAGTGTACAGGAATTTCTGAAAAATTCATATTTTTCATGGGAAAGAACATCCAAGTGTTATTTCCTATATTAAAATATCTCAATCTAAAATGAAACTATCCATATTGGTAGATTTTCAGTTGCCAATGGATGACAGACATTGAATAACTCTACAGAATGAATCACATATCAAATACATGTATTATCTAGTAACTAAGGAAAGACAAAGAGATTTATCCATGAAATGAGGATATTTGTGTAAACATGAGGACCTAGATCATGACACACAAATTCTGAACCATTACCAAGGAAATAAATGAACTTTTAAATACCAATATGCATCTGTTTACCATTTTTGCCTTGTATTGATTTCCAAACTGTATAAAACTAATTTTTACCTTTTTGCCTGTTCCAACTTTGGCCTTCTTTGTTCCTCTGACCTTCTTCTGTCTGTTCTTTCTTTCTTTTCTCTGTTTTCTACCTGCTCTTTGAACTTTTTCCACTACACCATGCTGTGGACAGATAAACATGTTAATGATCAAATAAACAAATTCTGTCCATCTCCAAAAGCAAATCTAATATAAACGATTTAATTTCATGTACATAATAAACCTGTCTTAAATGTTAATAAAATTTACTCCTAGATTCAAGAATTTACTTTTTCCAAGTACAAATTTGATAAATTTAATACTATGTCTATAATATTACTTTTCACTGCTAGAAATTAACTTCATTTCACAAGAGCTATTTGACCCTCAAAATTGCAACTGTAAATAGTGGCCCACTTTAATGTGAATCGTGATCTGCCCAATCTCCAAGTTTTTTTGTTTTACTTAAATCTGGAAGCAAACAAACTTCAAACTCTACCAGGTACATTGTACCTTGCAATACATTTTGGCATAGATTGATTGTTGTTTGCTAGATGTCAGTGGCAAATATTACATGCAAATGTCAGGTTAAGAGCAAATTAACAATAATTCCAATAAGTAGGGTAAACAAAGTTAGTCAAATGCAGTCCTGGACAAAGGACGAAAATTTTGATGGCCACTAGCAAATGAGAATATGTTGGATAAGGTAAAAAATTTTGCCTCAAAACAGCCACATACCAACCCATCAAGACCTGTTGCAAGGGTTCTTCAGCTTTCATAGCTCTTTGTAAAATTATTGTCAGACTGTCAGTACATTGGAGGGTGTAACATGTTTCATGCTCTTAAAGGCCCATGACCTTCTTTATTTAATTTTCTATATGCTCTCTTTACATTCCTTAAGTGCTTTTTCAGTAAACATACTAGTATATACTGATTACAATAAGCAAAATATTAATATACCCACATCTTCTTTAATTCATAATTAATTAGAAAGTCAAACTGACTTCTAATGTAAAACTACAAAATGGTATTAAACAAAATCAAAAGATCCTGAACTGAAGACCTAAAGAATTTTTTCAGCCTTGTACATTAATGCCATTTGCCCCTTATATGAAACTTACTACAAAAGATTATCTACTGCCATAATATATCTCTATGAAACATTGGAACAGAAAACTATCAACAGTTTTTCAGTTATATATAAACAATTAATTTTCAGCTGTTAAAATGCAAACTATCCAAACTAAATGAAATCATACTCGGATAAGTCTGTATTTGGGTTCAAATTTCTAAACAATTAATTTTCAGCTGTTAAAATGCAAACTATCCAAACTAAATGAAATCATACTCGGATAAGTCTGTATTTGGGTTCAAATTTCTTGGCAAAGTCTAAGCTGTCATATATCAGTCCAAATCCAGTGGTCTTGCCACCTCCGAACTTTGTCCTGAATCCAAAACAGAATATTACATCTGGTGTGGTCTTGTACATTCTGGCCAATTTTTCACGGACATCAGTTTTGGCAACCGTCGCCTTGCCGGGATGTAGAACATCTACAATCTGAAATGAATTATGAGCACTCATTGAAAAAATCTATTGCTTGACAGAAAGAAAACACAAGTACTTAAGTCCTGAATGAATAAGAATACTTGCTTGTATTTTTTATTTAAGAAATAATTCATGGGGGCTTGAATTAATTGTTATTTTACCACGGTTGGCCCTTTTATGCTAAATATTTTACCGAGCGATAGCGAGGGGTAAAATATCAGCATAAATGGACAACTCATGGTAAAATCAATATAAATTCAAGCCCCCCTGAATTATTTCTATTCTAATAGGACAAAGACAGCAATTCTTTAGTTTGGAAGCACTCTAGGTGCAGTGATATTGTTTGCCTCAAATTACATCCGAAATTCGGCTTTTTCCCCTAGAGAAAATTCCCATTTACCAGAGTTCGCGAAAATGGTCGGTCCTGTCGGTCAAAATGAGACTCGGGATCTGTATTTTGAAGGCTAGTGCGAGTCCCGATGACCGATGTAAAAACCGCCGTTGTAGTGCATATTTAGGCACTTTTTAACATCGGTTATTATATGTACCGCAACTGTTTCCAATAAGGTTATCAGATGTACCCGCTGCCAATTTCCGGTACTGGTTTACGGATTTATTATAAACAAACCAAAGCGGCGATCTACACGTGGCCTACTAAATTTGTTCATAGAGCCATCCCTGGCAAACAATCGGCGATTGAACCCTACAATGGAGCAAACAAATACTGTAACAGCCGAAAAAGTGATTCAGATGATGAAATGGATAGTGAAGATGACTTTAAATAAGAACAATCAGAAGACCTGAACTGGTCCTTCATTGTTAATTTGCCTGTGGGTGCGAAGAATAAAACTAATTATTTCGACAAAATATGTTATTAATTTTATTTCAGGATAAAATTGACAGATTTTGTAGGACTGACAAATAATCATGCTTTGTCGGTCCCATGACCGACGGGTCAAAACAAGTTTTCGCAAACTCTGATTTACTAAAAAATATGGCTTAAAATTCCCCCCAATAAGTTTTACATTTTTCCCAAAAGTGACGGCATTGGTATTAATGAATGTAAATTTCGTATTCATGATTATTTTGATATTATGAAAGTGCTTATGAGATCCAGGTTTCTGATCAGAATCATCACGGTGTTTTCAGTGCATTAAGTACCATCATTGTTTCTGTCTCTTTCCCCTCCCCAAAAAGTACCTTTCAGGTTTAAAATGTCTGACAATCAAAATATATGTGATAAAACTGTGCAAAAAAGACAGTAAAGTTTAGCAAAAAATCGGAGATGTGTTTAAAATAAAATAAACCAACTTCCCAATTTCAATAAAAATTATGCATTTTTCCCCAAAAAAAAATGGTAGAGGTAGTTCTGAAAAAAGACAACAATATCACTGAGGTGAAGGGAATGTTTGCTGTTCCCGTAATTTAACTCATTATTAAAATTCACGTAAATACGAAGAAAACTGAATAAGTGACATGGTTAAATGATTTACAATAACATACTAAGACAGATTTGGACGAAGCTGATTGATTATCTTACTTTTATTTAAGAAAATGGGCTTTCAACAAATTCTTATCATTATTTCAATATTTGTCATGTTTTCATGTTTTGACGACTTTCACTTTCAAATTTGTGCATTTTCCCGTAGAATGCTTAGGTTTTCACGTCATCGTTCAATGACGTCATTTACACCATCTGACCTCAGGTAATTCATTCATAAATAAAATGCTTCGCTTCGTATGAGCGCAGCCTGATACGACCACAGAGGTTGAACCCTGAACAGTTCGGCAAATTTGGACACAATATTCAAGCTTGATACTGTCTGAATTTGGGTTGTGATCAAATTTTTGACATAATAAAGGTTTCTGACACAAAATAAATGTGGTCAAAGATCTTACAAATCTATTGTGCAATGCTGTGCAATTGAAGATTTCTTCTTGAAACTTTTCAAAAATTCGAAATTTGAAAAATTTTGAAAAAAAGATATGAATCCCTTAAAAAAATTGGAAAAAAAATCCCCCCCCCCCCCAACTTTTTGAAACCCCCCTTGGAGCAATAACCCTAAAACTCAATCCCAGCTTTTCCTTTGTAGTATGGAACATTGTAGTACAATTTCAGAGAGATCAATACACTTAAACACAAGTTATTGTCTGGAAACTAGAAAAATGCTTGTTTTTGGCCCCTAATTCCTACATGTTTGGTGCAATTAACCCCAAACTCAATCACAGCCTTCCCTTTGTTATATGGAACCTTGTGGTACAATGTCAGAGAGATCCATACACTTACACACAAGTTATTGTCTGGAAACTAGAAAAATGCTTCTTTTTGGCCCTTAATTCCTAAACTGTTGGCCCCATAGCCCTAAAATGAATCCCAACCTTCTACTTTTGGTATTAAACATTGTGGTACAATTTCAGAGCAATCGAGATACTTATACACAAGTAATTATCCTGAAACTAGAAAAATGCTTGTTTTGGGCCCCTAATTCCTAAACGGTTGGGACCATCATCCCCAAAATCAATCCCAATCTTCCTTTTGTGGTATTGCACCTTCTTAAAAAATTTCATAGAGATCCATTCACTTAAACTAAAGTTATTGTCAGGAAACCAATGTGTCTTCGGAAGACACTGCAGACGATGACGACATCATACCATCCCAAAAAATTTTTGCGGTCGTATAAAAAGCAAACTATGTGGGAGTAAGATTGGAACTGCCCAAACAATCCATGACGTTGACGATCAGCTAACATATCAATATATTCATATTTTACCACGGGTGCGTTCTCAAACTTGACAAAGTGTTTGAAGAATGTCATATTAGAATGTTGTATCCTACTTTTTCATAGGAAAAATTTTTGCGATAATTTTTGTAATTACAGCTGCTTCTTAGTTGTCAGCTAGAAGTCAGATGCATAACATTGGAAGACTGCTAGGTAAGCTGTCTTAAACATCAAAAGGTTTTGCTGAGTTTATATTTTGTAGTTTTCCTTCATTTCCAGTCAATTTAGACAAAAGTAAATGAGGAAAAACCCCACATTTTAATTGTTGTATATGGAGAATTTTATTCATGTCCCTTAATTTTAACAATTAGATTTATATTCAGACCAATGTTTTGATTGTATTATAATTTCTTGGGAGATTGTTAACTTCTTACTGAAGTGTACTGCTGTACTATTGAAGAGCTTTGATGTCATTTTAGACAAATCTGACATTTTCCAATCTACCATGAGTACATAATCAATTATTTCGAATAGATTTCCAAGGACTACCCTGAATGTCACACCCTATGTTTTAAAATTTCTTAAGGTTTGGTCTCCTCTCTTTTTCCTCATGTTGTCATACATGTATAATAAACCAACCACCTATCAAATCTATAATAAATGCCCTTCCTCACATTTGATCTCACAAGTCAATGCTTTGTTATTGAGAAAATAAATAATTCTAGTGTCTATACATACCATCTGCTTCCGGCACAGCAGACGATTGGTCATAAATTTCCTAGTACGAATTGTGGCACCTTCACTCTGAAAAGTATACAACAGAGAACATGAAATGGTGATTCACAACCTACTCTGGAGAGTAACTCAATTATTTCTAATTTAAAGACTTATTTGGCTAAGTGGACTTCCTAGAACAGTAGGATTTTTTATAACACTGGAATACATTGTAGGCAGATTAATAGGGGGAGGGTTGAGATAGCACAAAATATGTTTAACCCCATAGAATTTTAGTGCCTGTACCAAGTCAGGAACCTCTGGCCTTTGTTAGTCTTGTGTTCTTATAATTTTGGTTCATGTTTCGGAGTTTAGTGTGACATCCATTTTCGCTGAACTAGTATTCATTTTGTACATTATTGAATATTGTTTAGCCTGCCTCCAGGTGCAAAATTTTCTTGCTGTGTTGGAAGACCCATTGGTGGCCTTAGGCTGTTTTCTGCTCTTTGGTTGGGTTGTCATCTCTCTGACACATTCCCAGTTTCCGTTCTCAATATTAATATAGCATATATTTATAAATACATTGTAGTCAACCAAATTGTTGTACTCCTACCATTCCACACACAGACATGATAGCATGGATTTTTCTCTATGTCAAAGGCCATATGACAACCGGTAGGTGTATATATATATGTATCCTTTACTTGGGTGATTACTTGTTCCTGCAGAGGGTCCCAAAATAAACAATGTTGAGAAAATTGGTAATAATATTGAAGCGAACTGTATTAATTTTCATGTACAATTGAAGCGGGATGATAGAAATCTGACATCCAAGTTTTTTATATTCCATGAAACATAAAAAGCATTTAATATGCTGATCAAATGAACCTTGTCCTTAGCATCTAATGGTCAAGTCAAAAGCCTTACTTAAAGACAAAGTCGGCATGTCACAAAACAAGAACATATCAGATATAATTCACCATTAAATGGTTATTCCTGGCATGATAAAAGAGTGCGATAAAGAAAAAAGTAAAAGGGATCAGTCTCTTCCAACAAAACTCCCATTGAGGATATTGACATGCAGATGTTTTAATTTAATGCATCTATTAACATTTAGTTGAAAGTCAGTTGGACTACTTCCCTTGAACCGGACTATCTTTCACATCAATAATGTCGTTCGTAAGGACGCAATGTCGTACGAATATGCTATCAAACTAAAGAATGGGTATTAAATATTTTATTCATTTGTTCCTTCAACAAGATGGTCAGTAATATAAACGATTAATGTGGATTGAAGTATGGGTAGTATCGTACCATGTTGGTGAAATTGTTGACGACGGAAGAAAGGACGAACCGGAAGTTGAGAAATAATAAGTACTTTAGATATTGAAATAGTTCTCTAATTTAATAAATTCATTCGAACAATGCTAAATCAAAGTGGACTCTTTTATTGTAAAAAATTGATTTCGTTTCATTTTAGTATGTATGTACTACTAATAATTTTCTATGGTGTATATTACACTTTCACTTTCGAGTTTATACTTCCGGTTAAATTTCCAATAAAACTGCTTCAGTCGGAAATATACTCAAGATACTGCTGTATGAAACTTTCCTTTGTATTATGTTTGGTAATGTTATGAGAAAAAATCGATCTAAGATTCCCTTCAAATAGCTTGTTAATTGTTTGAATCAAAAGCACTGTCCAGTCTCAGATTAAATCATAAATGATATCTGGAAAAACGTGAAATAATTTCCAACTACATGTACCACTACTACAACCCGAAACTGATTTACAAATGTATCATGAAAAACGAACATAACGTAAAAAGCTGCGTAAACCTTTATGTAGAAATGTGGGTGCAATACAAAAGGTCACAAACCTAAAATTTGAAACAGCTTGTTTTTCTAAACTAAACCTTTTCACTATTTAGGAATCTGTGACACTGGGAAATTGGCATCATACAATGATCAATTTTAGTTTTGGACGTCAGCCATTTTCTATTGTGAAGTCCAAATTTTCCTGGAACTGTTGCAATTTCCAGAAATGGCAAACAAATAGCAATAAGGTGTCTAGGTCATAAAATATATAACAGATCATAACATACAAAATGTAACACTGTGTCTTCTACTGAAATGCTGAAACGCTCTCCCTACAAGATTCAATAGAGCAAAAGTGAATAAGTTATTTCCCGCCAAATTCCACAAAATAATATCCATTTCTTGACACAACTATAATTAAAATAAAGAATGAATTGCTCCCACCAATTTTCCCAAATTCATGTCAAGAGATGAAGAGAAGTTGTTTGATATATTTTCAATAATACACTACGGTTTAAGTTTTCATGTAAAGTTTGTGATGAGGTCAGTTTAAGGGAAATCACTAGTGGTAAGCCAATGATATTTGGTATGCAGTTGTATTCAGTGATTTTCCTGCCTTTATTTTGGGTCCGAATATCGGCCCCGTTCCCAATTAGAAAAAAACCTAAATTTTTCCCAAATGAACACGTAAGATTCCCAGTTCAATCAAGTTGTAGCAGAAAGATAATTGATAATTTTATCGTTTGTATGATTTGGTTCAAAATATAGGTTGTTGTACTGTTCCGGAAGAAAAATACGTCCGTAGACAGATTATCATCATATTTGGGGAACCAGTTTAAAGTTCTGCATGGTTCATCTGAAAACCGGAAAAACGTCAATAACCATGATCTAAATTTTCAAAGGAAACAATTTTAATTCTATGAAAGTTTGCTACTACGGTCGATTATTTTTCTTCCAATAAAAGTATTGAAAGTATGATTACTATTAATTTCCTTTAAAAACACATTGAGCATTTATTCTAAATTTAGTTTTTGTCTCCATAAAATGTGCTTAACTGTCTTTGTTAATTTTTTAGTCTTTGGTTTATTTATAAATTTTGTAAACATGCCAAAGCGTGCAGCAAAATGCTTTTTTCGCTGGTCAATACATTATTTTCTTCTGTTAGTTGTGATGTTAATATCAATTAAAAAGCCAATCAAGCCACGGAAGTGCACGAAATGGTATTTATTAAATTCATGTACCATAGAAAATATGGCAGTCCATTTACACTCGGAATTCACGGGAATAGAAACGAATCTTTAATTATCTCCTTCTAACTTTGATGATTATTAAAAATTATTAAATCAGTTGTAATAATTTGAATGTGAATTGTTCTACTAGTTTGTGTAGTGTATCCAGGTTTGATTCTTCTTTTTGTTGTCATCGTGGAGAGTATTGGATAGTACCTTCCCGTTTTAGTATATATTTCTACTTATGCATATGTTCTCATGGCCCATTCATGTTCAAATTTATATGAAGGAGCCCTTGTGTCATAGAGACTAAATGTTTCCAGATCACTACATACAGACTCTTAATGGAGATGATTAAAATAAATTGTTTTGTCTCTACATTTTATTAGCAAACCAGTTAATTCATCATGAAAAACATCTGGAAATGTCCAAGATCACATGATATAGCTTCATTTATTTTAAAATTTTCTGATGGGGAGCATGCCATCAGACACCAGTAGCATGAGTCGTGCCAAAGGCAGAACTTGACGGGCTAGCAGAGTTGAGGGAGGACTTAAAAAAAAATTAAATAGCCCTTGTATAAAGGAATTTAGTTAGTGTCAAACCCTGGATATATATTAACATGCATTAAGAAAAAAAATTTGATATGTTCAGAAAATTGGAATTCTAATAAATAACCTCATTAAGATATGATGAAATCAATGATTTATTTTTTTCCCCAATTAACACGTTATATACGACACATTTTTCCCAATTGGCTAGGGTATAGGCCCCATTTGAAAAAAGGTAGGAAAATCACTGGTATTAGCATTTGGACATTTCAATTCCATGGAGATTATTTGGCCCCATTTCTCTGAGTCATGGTCTATTGACTTTGAAACTTTTGCATATACAGATGTATTATAGTTTACATGTACATGTATAAGGGTGTGATCAGGACAGTTTATGGGAACCACCAGTGGTTGGTCAATGATATTTGGTATGCAGTTCTATACAGCATTTGCATGTCTAATGGCCATGGATACAATGATCTTCCACCTCCTCATGGTTCAATGACTTTGAAAATTTTGCATTGTTTACAGGTTAAAGTTTGTTCTTTTGGTCAGTTTATAGGGACCCACCTATGATATGGTACATGTATTTGGTATGCAGGTGTATTGTCAATTGCATTGTGAGTTCTCATTTCCACAGAGGTAATATGATTTTTTAAACATGCACCCTCATACATAGTTTATTGACTTTGAACGTGTTGCATAGTTAACATGTTAAAAGTACTGCCACTTTAATTTCAGCTATAAAAATTATATAAAGGCAAGACATATCTCTGTGTCAATCTCAATTTTATATGCATTTAACAATTACATTCCGTCTGGGATTAAATTTTTAGACATCAAATATAACTTTGTTAATCCTTCATGGAATACAATGTATTATGAAACTTGGACAGAAGCTTTTTCAAGATAAAAGAAATGAGCTGCGTCGGATAGAAATCTACCTTATGCAAATGGATATCAACACATCTGTTAACCTTTTTCAGATTAAAGAATTTCTATGCAAAGTAACTGTTAGAAAATTAAGTTGATATAAGAACCTTACAAAACAGACTAAAATTTATCTTTTATTTGGTATTTGAATGTTCCAAAATCAAATAAAGTCTTATACATGTACAGGTATACAATGTATATGCACTTGCATAATGTCGTTATTTCTATCCAACGCAGCTCAAATAGCATCTGAAGAAAATATTAGATTTAAAAAAAAAAATCTTTTTTTTTACTTATAAATGGACTAAGCTTTTGGCAGTGAACATTACATTTTTACACTGACAGCAGAAATCGAAGTCGGGACACTGGGTTCAAAGGAACCCTTTGCAATGTTTTCATGTGAATTAGGAATTTTATCTTATGTTTTATATAAATATGCACCTCTATTTTGATTGTTTCATTAAACATTTATATTTTATTTTAGGGCAAAGTTGTTTATAGAATGAGTGAACCCCCTTTGAAAAAGAAAAGAACCCTATTAGATTTTTTTAGAAAGAAAACCAAATCAAATAATGGTAAGTACACATCAGACAGCTAAGGCAAAGTTTGTCATTTCCACCTGCTCCAATGAGCAAACCCTCTTCTTCCTGTAAAAGTTTTACCTCAGATTTTGTGAAAACTTAAAATACAAAAGCTTAATCTGTTTTTCTTATATGATGAAGGATAACTGGTATTTCCAATCTTTAGGGTGGTTACAGGGGACCATTTAGAAGTTTTGTCCACTCTATGCTCATGCATCATGTAAAGATGATGAGTTTAAGGTTAAAACATTGAAAATATAACTAAAAAACTGATAGAATACAAGATTTAAAAAAAAAAAATCAAAAGGAAAGTTACCAAACAAAATAAAAGAGTAATCATACCTTGAAATATAAAATTGCTGTATTGATATCCTGCATCCAAACTCTTTTTATCATGATGGGTCAAAACTGAATTATTGAGTGGGTTTATATTGATGAACTTGTACATGTAGTATGTATTTAAAAAAATAATAGGAAACAATCCTACTGAATCAGGGATTTTCATTATTTATCCTGTTAAGTCATGTGTATATTTCTGATACATGTACATACAATTATAGAATTTAAAATTATATTTCTATATGAAATGTCAAGTACAAATTACCATGATTTTGCAATATTAATGTTTTCAAATAACAAATAAATGTCAATGAGACAGCAACCCTTTGGTACATAAACCAAAAGGCATCAATAGCTGGAGGTCAATATATATTCTTCAAACTCGTGCAAGTCTGTAATATGTCAATATGATATTACAATATAACAAACAAACAAAATATGAACTTATTAAAGTGATTTGAAAAATAAGTGCTTAAACAGAGCTTTTAAAAATTATTAAGAAACTAAAGTTCAAAAATTAAACTTAGATGAATTTGGCTATTTTTCTATGTCCCTTAAGGTCATAAACATGGAGCTCTTCACATATTTAGGTCTTATACATCCTTGGCTTACAAATGTTCTTGTTGTTGCATACTTGATGAAATTAAATTTAGAAAAGCACTTCTGAACCTGAAATGTCATGGCTGTATTAAAAATATCAGCTATCAGTCTTAAAATAAATAATCAAAATTGATAAACAAGAAAAGTACACTGTAAGTATATGGACATAAGTAATAACTAACTTTGCAATACAGATACATGTATATATGCTAGGTTGATATTTTTGAAGGTTAGCATGATTATTATTTTTTTTTTTATTGTTTTACTTTTTTTTAGATGAACCAGTAAAAGACAAAAAGGTGGAAATTATTGATGTAGAAATGGCTGAATCTAAACCTGGAAAAAGCTCAAAGTAATTATATTTATAATTATAGCATTCATCTATCCACCAAATTGTCAATTTCTAATAGATTTTTGCAGAAGTGTTCAAACAATAAAAGTAGTGGAAGATAAAAAAAGCATAGGATGTAATGTTGAAGTAAAGTTAAAGTTACATAATGAATCTGTTTGACTCAAACAATTAAGATGCTTCTGTATCAAATTAGAAATACTGGAAATTCAGAAGCTAATGTACATGTGTGCATTTATTATTGTGAATCCTTGACCATTGGAAAAAATATGAAATGCAATTAATGCTATTGCAAAAATTTTATGAAGGAAAATTACTACTGAGAGTATGAATACAAGTTTTTATACGACCGCAAAAAATTTTTGTGGTCGTATATTGGTATGACGTTGGCGTCGTTGTCGTCGTCGTCCGAAGACACATTGGTTTTCGCACTCTAACTTTAGTTTAAGTGAATGGATCTCTATGAAATTTTACCACAAGGTTCAATACCACAAAAGGAAGGTTGGGATTGATTTTGGGGGTTATGGTACCAACAGTGAAGGAATTAGGGGCCAAAAAGGGGCCAAAAATAAGCATTTTTGTAACTTCCAGACATAACTTGTGTGTTAGTGTATGGATCTCTCTGACATTGTACCACAAGGTTCCATATCACAAAAGGAATGCTGGGGTTGATTTTGGGGGTAATTGCCTCAAAATTTTAGGAATTAGGGGCCAAAAAAGGGGCAAAAAACAAGCATTTTTCTAGTTTCATGACAATAACTTGTGTGTAAGTGTATGGATCTTTCTGAAATTGTACTACAAGGTTCCATATCACAAAGGGAAAGCTGGAATTGAGTTTGGGGGTAATTGCCGAAACGTTTAGGAATTAGGGGCCAAAAAGGGGCAAAAAACAAGCATTTTTCTAGTTTCCAGACAATAACTTGTGTGTAAGTATATGGATCTTTCTGAAATTGTACTGCAAGGTACCATACCACAAAGGGAAGGCTGGGATTGAGTTTGGGGGTGATGAATCATAAGGGGGTTCAAAAAATTTTGGGGGGGGTTCCTTTTTTCTCTTTTTTTCCTTTTTTTTTTCTTTTAAAATTTTCCATTTTAAGTTGGTTATTTCTGATTTATATTTAAAAGCAAATAATAATGATATGGTAGGAGATACACAACAAACAGGATGTGTAAATTATTATATAATAAGTATTGTGCAATAGCAAGAAATTGTCATTGCACAGTATTGCACAATAGCAAGAAATCTTCAATTGCACAGTATTGCGCAATAGCAAGAAATCTTCAATTGCACAGTATTGCGCAATAGCAAGAAATATCCAATAGCACAATATTGCGCAATAGCAAGAAATTGTCAATTGTACAGTATTGCGCAATAGCAAGAAATATTTAATTGCACAGTATTGTGCAAAAGAAGATACTTCTTATAAATTGCTTATTTCTTGACCAATTTCAATGGGGTTTTATTCTTGAATTCTTGGGGTTCTTTAATATGCTGAATCTAACCGTGTATTTAGTTTTTGGATTTTGGGCCCCGTTTTTAAATTGGTCCACATTGAGGTCCAAAGGGTCCAAAATTAAACTTTGTTTGATTTCATCAAAAATTGAATTATTGGGGTTCTTTGATATGAAGAATCTAACCGTGTATTTAGATTCTTAATTTTTGGTTCCGTTTTCAAATTGGTCTACATTAAGGTCCAAAGGGTCCAAAATTAAACTTAGTTTGATTTTAACAAAAATTGAATTCTTAGGGTTTTTTGATATGCTGAATCTAAACATGTATTTAGATTTTTGATTATGGGCCCAGTTTTCAAGTTGGTCCAAATCGGGGTCCAAAATTAAACTTTGTTTGATTTCAACAAAAATTGAATATATGGGGTTCTTTGATATGCTGAATCTAACCATGTATTTAGATTTTTGATTTTTGGGCCCCGTTATCAACTTTGTCCACATTGAGGTCAAAAGGGTCCAAAATTAAACTTTGTTTGATTTCATCAAAAATTGAATTCTTGGGGTTCTTTGATATGCTGAATCTAACCATGTATTTAGATTTTGGATATTGGACCATAATAGGTGAATGTCCAATTTAAAATTTTTAAGTTCTTAGACCACATTCATTCTGTGTCAGAAACCTATGCTGTGTCAAATATTTAATCACAATCCAAATGCAAAGCTGTATCAAGCTTGAATGTTGTGTCCATACTTGCCCCAACTGTTCAGGATTCGACCTCTGCGGTCGTATCAAGCTGCGCCCTGCGGAGCATTTTATTATTATTGCAAACTTAACTGCATCTTTCGATAAAACATGGCAATAATTTCTGAATTTACAGTAGTTGACATTATGTGAAAAATAAAATGAATGGTACTTCGCTCTAGATATCTCACTGATCAACTAATCATTGCTTTAAAAGTTTCGCTGTTCACATTTTCCACTTTTCACTAACATAAATGATCTTATTATGGTTTCAGGATATTTTGGCGGTCTTTGCAAATAAAGACAGGGTTAAAAGTGCTGTGTTATATGTGGCTTTATATATAAGTATTGCATTAAATTTTTACATTTGTTACATTCATTTGCAAATAAAAGGATAAAGTTGTTGGCAGAGAAAGAGTTGTGATGAGTGATAAATTCAACAGCTGACCAAATGACAATACCTGATGTAAGACCACAACCATGATTAGTCACATAAAGAGATACATCATATTTATAGGTTTATGTACACATATTCAAATATAGAGAATCGTTCGTTTTCTCGATATAAAATATATTTGTATGAGGCTTGGAAACAGGTAGAATGAGAGGTTGTGCACTATATGAAATTATTTTTTCTCCTTGACAAATTTTTATGTATACTTTTGAAAAAAATAAATCTTTTCTGTTTTGTTAAATTTTCTTAGATAATCAGCCTTATAATATTATAAGTGTGTTGTTCAAATATGCATATGCAGTGACCATGTAATCTTTTCTGCTAGAAATAATAATAAACTGTTAATTTATTAAAAATAATGATACAGAGACCTGCTTTTATTCCTTTGTAGACCAGCAGTAAATCCTGTGAAAAAAGTTTTAAATGACATTTCTACACAAGGGCTTGGTGCATCATTTGATGGGAAAGGAGCTCAAGCAGCCAAAACTTTTACCGAAAAAAGTAAGTTTTTTTTTTTGACTTAATGTGCGTCATTAAAAAAAATGTGAAATATAAGTGGGGAAAATGCTGATAATCTCAATAAATTATCTTATGCATACCAGAATTTTGATGTTTTGTATTCTCGAATTCGTCAACAATTATAAGTTTTCATTTGGTCTTGTTAAGCAGAAATCCAGTGTCGACCAGTAGTGGACATTTCTTGAGATGTTGCAATAGCTCATGTACAGTACGGGTAGAGACTTACTACTATAAATAACGGACTGGGACATGTCGGAAATGAATAATCCGACTTTTTTATGGTAGGTAGTATGGTCATTAATCAACAGATCCAGGTGTGAACGGTAATATAATTGTCCTTTCATCTCAATCCGTGCTACTAGATTATTACGCTTCACTGATTTCAGAATCAGGTTACCTGTGATTTAAACCTCTCAGCCACTTTATTGATTAGTTCTACATCGTATTTGACATAAAATATTTTTACAGGTGAAGTACTGGAGACAACTTTGTTTTAATAAAAAATAGCCTATTTTTTAATTATGGCTTTTTATATTTCAAATGCTGTATTTATTCCTCAAAATATTATTTTCTATGTTCCTTTGTATTTTTTTTGTTATATATCTTTTTCGTATTTGTTGGCATACAGTTTTTAAAATATTTTCTTTTTTATTTCTGGAAGGTTATTTTGTTTTACTGATTTATTTTCCACGTAAACCCATTGATTAGCAGAATGATGTGCAAAGTGCTGCTGTATACGTTTTAGTTTGACAACACTACAATTGTATTTAATTTTCAGTCTGCGTTGGGTCAGTTCTGAAATAAAAATAATTACACTGAGCAATACTTGTATACTAGTAGTTTGGTGATTCTTTATAATTGTGAATTTACTTTTTACTGTAAACAAATATTGTCCGAAAGTTGGTGATATATAACTAAAGTAGTATGCAAATAATAACACTAGAAGAAGATATCGATTCTTCTCGGGAATTAGGTTTATTTTGGTATTTCTGTGTTTGTTAAATATGCATGAAATAATTGCCACTGACATGAAATGGACATTAAAACTAGAAGCATTCAATCGTTTGATGACCAGTTAATTAAATATTTACTATGATTTGTAGTCTAAAGAAATGCAATTACTCCTATTTAAATAATTTTATGGTGCTGCATTGACTCTTAATTGCATAATATTAATTTACGCACAATGCATGTTAATTTGTTTGTTGTATTTTTGACACCAATCTAAAAAAAATATTTGCCGTGAAAAGACAATTGCATGATACACATATCAGTGATCAACAGCATGTGGTTGAACTTTGAACTTGACTTCACTCACAATACAATGTTGAATGCTAAAAATAGCTGGGATTAATTTTGTCAAATGCACGTGATTTTCATATGGCGGGAAATATCGTAACAGTTAACACAGGTGACCTTACTGACCGACCGTGGGAAAATCTATTCATGATTTAATTTGATACGTAATGATTGGCAGTATTGTGCGTTAGTTTTGAGGCTCTTTATTGAGATCCATTAATAATTGATTTACCAGAATAGAAAATTTAATCCTTGTAATTATAAACAAAACAAGCTTTTGTCTTCTTTAACTATTTTATTTATTATATTTATCAGTCAACACCCAGATTCCTATTTAAATAATTTATTCGGACACCTCCTTTAAAGTTCGGGAATTATACAATTTAAACTGCCGACATCGATTTACAAAATCTTACTGACTGCACGAACTTTAGAGAATGGCTAGAAATACGACGCAAAAGTAAAGACGGCTGATCATGAATAGTGTAAAACTTTGATCTTCGTGTATTGATTGACACAATTCGTAAAATATGTTTATAAAAAACACGATTTTCATTCAAATTTCAAACATGGAAATAGAAAGGCAATATCTTTGTTATAATACAACGAGTGTCTACAAATCTGTTATTTCCAATATATGTAAATTTATTAACAAACAAAATTTAAAATAATGCTGGGTCATAGAATATTGACTTGCATATGAAAAGTTTTTATTATATAAAAACTAGGATTCGAAAGATGATCACGGCGTTATAAATATTGTAAAAAAAACCAATTGTTTCAAAGAGATTAACGGGAAATATATGTCACAATAGAAAGCACGATGATCTGGCTGACCAAATTGTTTTACTTGCGAGAAATGATTGACAGGTATGAATAGACGTAGAGGCTCCGACCGGGAACGTGGTATCCAAAGGAAAATAACAGTTTATTCACAATGCCTATATTCAATTTGTTTATATATTTTATAAATATGATATGTTGGCCTTATACTTAAAATTGTGTTTCTATTAATAACATAAAGGAACAGGACGTTAAAAGGGGGAAATATTGTAACCATCAACGAAAACTCGTATAATTTACGGGATTGATGTCTCAACATTTTGATTAAAACTTCGATTGAAAACAGTCCTGGTTGTTATAATTTTGAATAAAATGAAATATTTACGGTTTACAAATACAAATAGTTTATTGGCACAAACACAATTATTATAATTGGCAAAACATTTTTACAGTACATTGTTAAAAATCGTCTTTCTTTCATTTTCATGTTAAAAACAAGTTGATCCCATATTCATATTAAATTTTTATTTTTATTGTAATTTTTTCTTTGAATACAAAACAATATTTTACATTTATTATCTATCCTCCATAAATACTAAAATATCTGTACAGGTAAAATTTAATTCTAATCAAGCTGGTACAGATTGATTTACGACCTTCCACTCGGATATTGTACAGGTTAATATCACAGCAGGTGTTAATTACACTGAGACAACTGTCCGGCCAGTCTGACATCTAGACTGATTAAGACATCCATATTAATAAGTCTCTACCCGTACTGTATATCGGTTTTATGCAGATTCAAGGCCCTTGATAATACTTATCAGTCAGTCTTCATTGATATTGAAATTGTTACATTATTCAGATTTTTGTTTTCTTGCTCAGGCTTGTACTAATAGAATTAACTGTATGAAAGCTTTCTCATATTTGATATACTGTTTTGTAACATCCTTACTTCTCAGATTATAAAAAGATGTAAAAAATGTAAGATTGACAGCAACAATCCATGTTGACAATATATGAATAAAAAAACCAAAAAACTCTGCAGTACTGCTAGAGGATTTTTAAAAGTGCATCTCTCCAAGAAGAAATGATATATTCTGGATGTGTATTGCATCCATGTGATGTGAAAACAAATATTAATTTAAATATTTTGCACAAAAGCTTGATATGCAGTTGCAAGTTATTTTGATTGCATTTTTTACAGCAGTTTACATGAAAAAGTTGCTATCTCATTGAAGGTTACCCCACATCCCTTTTAAATGTTTTAATACATGTCATAAATAAAAAATAACATTGGTGAAATGAAATCAGCTACAAATGATTGTGTTCACTGAATAGATACAACTTACTTTATCTGAGCAATTAACTTTGATTATATTGCAGCAGACAAGATTTTGAAGTCAAGTTTTGGAGACACTTTCAAATATGATGAAACAATGGAATATAATATGGAGTAAGAAATAATGTAGAAATACTGTAAATAAGAAATTATTGCACATGCAATTATTATTGCTCAAAATGGTAACAAAAAATGTGTTATTGATTATTATGATTTCAGGAAATGCTACATATAAATAATTTATCAAAATTTAAAACTCAACTTTTTATTTTATCCTGTCTGCATATACAGTAAATAATAAGGGAGGCAACTCATATTTTAAAACTTTTACAAAGATTAATCATTGCCAGAACTGTGGTAGATCTACAATTTATTTTATAGGCCTAGTAAACACAAATAAGATCAGAATAACAAAATATTTGCAATAATAACAAAATCAGATGACAAATACCAGTACAAATGAAATGTGAATATTGATTTACATTATTATTATGTAAATGCAGGTTCTTCTTTGTTTTTTTAAAAACAATATAAAGAATACAAGTGATGAAGATATTAACTATAACAAGTGCATATGTGATTCATGGAAATTATTTGGTGTCACTTGTCATATTTTCATTGAAACTTACAGGAAAAATATTTGTATTCATTAAATGTAGCCAATGAAGTACTTGAGTAAATTTGATTTCATGATTCATTTCAATAGTTCTGATGTAGCAGACTCTCAAGGTTCTCAAGATGGAGATAGTGTAAAACCAGACATACCAACCAAGAAACCAAGTCAGAGAAAAGCTAATTCTGATTGGAAGGTAAATAGATTGATCCCAACCCTTTTTGTCAGAGGAAATTTTTTCAAATATTTTTATTTTCCACAAATATATAATTTGTAAATTTTTTAATATTTAATAGAAGAAAGATTTATAATCTTTGTAATTCATAGATATATAAGTTGTTATATACACATTGGACATAGCTAATGGATAAGTATTGATATGATTTAATGAAGAATTAAATGCTTCTTTTTGTAAATTTATTGGGGTGTAAAAGCATTGACTGAAGTACGCTTCATTCTAAAAATGTGCTTTTACAACCCTATAAAATTACTAAAAGAAGCATTCAATACTTATAATTACATTTATTTGCTAGGATCATGAAAACACAATTTCTATCAAGTTTTTCTTTTATTTACCTGTGCACTTTATTGTGGAAGCTCGTGTCATCATGAATGTTACATTTCATTTTGAAATGAAGGTTAATTTCAGACTGACGCTAGATTTCTGTTAGCCAATCAAAATAAAGTATTATAATGAAACATACATGTAAGATAATTATTTTTCTTTGAAGTGACCAATATCTTATGTTGTATATTCCAGGGAAAACCTTTAAATAGACTGAATAAAATACCTGACTGCATGGAAAAATTACCAGCTTTGCATTCAACAGAAAATCATACAGTTCTTATTAAAGTTCCGGTAAGAACCTTCAATACAGTATTTAAAATTAATTAGTACGGAATTAGTCTTTGAGAGATTCAAACTGCATTAAAAAATTTCTTAAAATATCACGAAAGTAAAATTCACCCTTAATTGCGGCATACAAATTACAGTTAGCACTAATCCTGAGTCAGAGGGGCCTCGGTAGCTTTTAGATATTTTATCTACAGTAATCAATAGCCTGTCAATACTTAAGGTTTTGAGTTCTAACCCTGCATGTGGCAATGTGTGTTTGATTCAGTTCTTAATTGACTAGTTTTCCTACAGAAGGTTGTGGTTTCTCTCTGTGGGCTCAGGCCTCCACCAATAAAAACTTGCCCCATGAAAATCACCTTAAACACCAACAATCAATCAATTAATCCATAGTCGGAAATTATAAATATTTTATTTGTAGTCTGGTACGCATTCCCCGTTTCGATTCTCAATTTTATGGTATTGTAATTCAACATTTCTCCAGCCTTTTCTGACTTTTGGCTCACTTAGTTCATAGAATTTCGTTTAGATAAGCAATGAATAAATTTCCCCTTTAAATCCTTTAAAAGAGAAAGAAAATGTCATGGGGCAATACAACATATTAGTAACAACAGAACACCATGGCCAAAAAATTATACCAAAAAAGACCAACAGCAGTCTTCATACACTACATTAAAACTAAAGAATGAGCAACAACATGAACCCTACCAATTGTGCAACTTATACAAAATTAATACAAATTACATGGACTAGAAATGTATACATTAAAGTCGATGCTGTATTATTCAGTCAAAGTTATAAATTTTCTTGCAAGTGTATTATTTGTTTTTGGAGTAAAGATTGTGTTCATGCAATCATAACCGTTATGTGGCTGGCCTCATAGTTCAGGGGTTAAGAAATCCACTAGCCCGACACCCGGGACTAGAGCATTTACACCTCGGGCAATCAAAACTTGTAACCAAATATGCCCGACGGACTAGTAACAAAAAATTCTTGGCGTATCCAAAATACAAAGTGGAAAATCCCTTCATCTCTATTCTATCTTAGCCAATCAAATTCAATTACGTCATTCAGAATTCCAAGAATTTGTATGTTTTGAAAATAGAACAAATGGGTGGACCGGTATCATGTATTGATTGCAATTTCTGTACTTTCATTATCGATTTCTCTGTACTTAGCGTATTGTACATTGCTCAGGCCGAGACTTTCAATTAAAGGTACTGGAGGTAATACCGTATGATGCATTGATTGATGTGAACTGTTACTTGTAAGAATGATTTAGCCTTTCAGAAATACATATTAACATAATATTCTAAATTAATGAACAATTAAAAAAAAAAATTAAAAAAAAAGTGAAATGAAAATTCGACAGAACCACGTTGTTGAAACTGATACACGTTTGGGCATGTGCGCAGGTGCGAGATTTAATTTTGCATCTGAATTCTTCAAAAATTCTTCTAAACGTTCATTTCAAGTATTTTCAAGAAGAAATAATGTGGAAAGAACTACATAAACTGAATAGACAACTTTCACAGCGTACACAGAGTTTTGTGTCCATCTTTGGTCCGTGTTTTACCTTTGACAAGTCAACATCCGGTAATAGGAAAAATGCTTTTTGAAAAAAGAAAGTACAGTTCTGGCAGCGTGATATTGCATTAATAAAGAGTTTAAGGCAGATTTTAGTTCACTAATTTTTAACATTTCATATGTGGACTGTCAATTTAACAGTTTCCGTCAGAACATAAAATTATAACAAAAGTCTTCTGAAGTTTAGTATTGTTTTAATGTCAATTATTCAGGCATTGTGATGGTGCCAACATTTTAACAATGATTGCCTTTGTGACTAAGTCTTTCAGGATTGAAATTTGAATCAGAAAAAAATATCCAGCTGACTCAAACATTTGTTGGGTATCAGGTTTGATTTGCTGGGCTAGCAGTTCTGTCAACAGGACTAGTAAATCCTGCTACCAATAAGTCCTGGACTAGTGAGCTGTAACAAAATTTTTTAACCCCTGTAGTTTATCAATTTTCCAGACTTTATATCACTACTTTTGAGAAAAAAAATATAGTGCATGGAGCACAACATTCGTTACATCCTATCCATGAACGTTTCAAGAAATTTGCCAATGATATATCATATGTTCAAGTTTATAGCCTTACTTGTCTATAAAATTACAAAAATTGTGCATGGTGCACAGATGTATTGTTAAAGTAATATTCAAAATTAAGAGTTATCTTCCTTTGTTTATAATTGTTGTTGAACCAATACATAGCATTGCCTTCCAATGCTTGTTTTATTTTTAGTTCCTACTACAAAATAAATGCAATCTTTACCCTTCAATGCTTACAAGCAATTAGATTAAATTTAGATGTAGAAATCAGTCTCATTTATTTTTGCAATAATAAAACATCACAAAAATTAACACTACAGTTTTATATAAGCAATTTATACAATCATAAAACTTAAAGAACCCATAATTAATTGTAACATTTAATTAAATAGTATAAGTATGATCCAAAGACACCACCAACGCCTCATCCTGCACAGTATAAAGACGGTTGGAATAATGACCATGTGAAAATGCCATGTTCTCCACAGAATGAATATCCTTTCCAAGGCAAGGTATGTCAGTCTATAGTGAAAGTTTAAATCTAAACATTGAAAACACATAGTTTGATCATTTATTTTTTTCCAACTGCTAGCTGATAATTCAGTGTGTTTTCATTTTAAATACATTTGAACAAACACTATCACCCGAAATGAATTTTTTATGCTCTTTAAGGTAAATGCATATCTTTTTTTTCTTTTGAGTTAAATTTTTGCAATTTGTTATATGATCAAAAGTGGTTAAAAAACTTGAAAAATATATATACATTTATATATAAATTTATTTCAGAATAATAAACAGATATTGAGGAAGAGGTGGGAGATTATAGAAGAGGCACTTCTAAGTAAAATACCAGGTCCATATGAGTTAGAGGTATTTATGTAACTACAATACCTGTGTTTTGATTAACATTTTTAAAGGACAATGTTATAAGTGTTGCATTTCCAAAACTCTCTGAAGCATAGTAGTCAACTATCCAGCGCTGATGTGAAATATCTTAGATGCAGTCATGGGAAAGTGGCCTTAGCCACAACTTTTAGAAATTTTACAACTTAGGAATTGATTTGGTACTCAATCTGTTTTGATTCAAATGCCCCTGATGAGTCTTATGTAGAAGAAATGGGTGTCTGACATTCTTAGATATAAGAGTGCTAACTTTGATTATACTTGCAACTTAATTTTAATATGCATGTCATATTATTTGTCAAAATAGTTTTGGTTGATAAAGAAATGCAATGAAATTCAGTGAATTGTTGACATTACATTTTCCCCAATTCAAATTAAAGTAGGAATTTTAAGTAAGATTCCTCAATTGTTTGCATTTTTATTGCTTGATATACTTGTTAAGAAGGCTATCTCTTGGCTAGAAATTTGAAGAATGCTTATGTAATAATTTATATTTGGAATTTTGAAACAAATTTTATAATTTGGTAAATAAGTATGATCTTCTCACCATGAAGATCTTTTCAAAAGAAACAGTTTATTTTGAGTAAATGTATTTACGGTAACATTGTAAACCAAACATGTCTTAATGAATTATTTGGCAACTGGTCATTTCAATTTGAAATTTGTCAAGAGCTATGTAAAGTGTTTTTGATATTGAAATCAACTTCAATTGGATGTATCTACTTGATTTATGATACTGGATATTAGATGAACTTGATCTATTTTGGTTTCAATTTATTTATGATACTTGATATTAGATGAACTTGATCTATTTTGGTTTCAATTTATTTATGATACTTGATATTAGATGAACTTGATCTATTTTGGTTTCAATTTATTTATGATACTTGATATTAGATGAACTTGATCTATTTTGGTTTCAATTTATTTATGATACTTGATATTAGATGAACTTGATCTATTTTGGTTTCAATTTATTTATAATACTTGATATTAGATGAACTTGATCTATTTTGGTTTCAATTATCAAGACCTGTTTAAGACAGCTCTTGATAATAGTGAATTGACCTGCAAGAAATTTTATCAACACCTGTATTCTGTAACCTGTAACAGACATAACCTAAAATGAAAATAAATTGACCTAAAGAGTCATTTTAAAAAATTTAATCCAGTTTTGCAATGCTACTGATTGAATTAGTATTATGTATAGATCTCATGGGTGCAGTACATGCTCTTATGGCCTTTATATGAAAATAAGAAGATGTTGTATGATTGCTGATGAGACAAATCTACACTAGAGACCAAATGACGTAGAAGTTAGCAACTAATGAACTATAGGTCACTGTCAGGCCATCAACAATGAGCAATACCCATACTTATAGTACACTGAACACAAAAATGACCATGTTATTTTATATAAATCACTCTTTACATTAATCTGTTTGCATTTATGTTTACCATTCAGTTATCTTATTTATTGTAGGACATAATACTGAAATACAATTCACGGTATTTTGGCAAGTGGAATTTTGAGACATTGAAGTGTCTTTTTACAGAGGTAAAGAAAATATATACTGTTTGTTCAAGAATATGTTTAAGGTTAAATGTGAAAAGAACTGTAATGTTATTAATGAGGTATAAAAAATGTACTGTTTCTACAGACATACATGATGCCACCAGAAAAATTCAAGCTGTTCAAAATTTTGAAGGTTTTTGTCGAGCCTGCGACTTTTGTCGCAGAAAGCTCGACATAGGGATAGCGATCCGGCGGCGGCGGCGGCGGCGGCGGCGGCGTTAGCTTACTTCTTAAAAGCTTTATATTTTAGAAGATGGAAGACCTGGATGCTTCATACTTTGTATATGGATGCCTCATGTTACGAAGTTTCAGTCAGTCACATGTCCAATGTCCTTGACCTCATTTTCATGGTTCAGTGACTACTTGAAAAAAAAGTTCAGATTTTTTGTAATGTTAAATTCTCTCTTATTATAAGTAATAGGATAACTATATTTGGTATGTGCGTACCTTGCAAGGTCCTCATGCCCGTCAGACAGTTTTCACTTGACCTCAACCTCATTTCATGGATCAGTGAACAAGGTTAAGTTTTCGTGGTCAAGTCCATATCTCAGATACTATAAGCAATAGGTCTAGTATATTCGGTGTATGGAAGGACTGTAAGGTGTACATGTCCAACTGGCAGGTGTCATCTGACCTTGACCTCATTTTCATGGTTCAGTGGTTATAGTTAAGTTTTTGTGTTTGGTCTGTTTTTCTTATACTGTATGCAATAGGTCTACTATATTTGGTGTATGGAATGATTGTAAGGTGTACATGTCTAGCTGGCAGGTGTCATCTGACCTTGACCTCATTTTCATGGTTCAGTGGTCAAAGTTAAGTTTTTGAGTTTTGGTCTTTTTTTCTAATACTGCATGCAATAGGTCAGCTATATTTGGTGTATGGAACGATTGTAAGGTGTACATGTCTAGCTGGCAGGTGTCATCTTACCTTGACCTCATTTTCATGGTTCAGTGGTCAAAGTTAAGTTTTTGAGTTTTGGTCTTTTTTTCTAATACTATATGCAATAGTTCAACTATGTTTGGTGTATGGAAATATTTTATGATCTATATGTCAGTCACGCAGGTTTTATTTGACCTTGACCTCATTTTCAAGGTTCATTGCTCAGTGTTAAGTTTTTGTGTTTTCGTCTGTTTTTCTTAAACTATAAGCAATAGGTCAACTATATTTGTTGTATTGAAGAATTGTTAGCTGTACATGCCTGCCTAGCATGGTTCATCTGACCTTGACCTCATTTTCATGGTTCATTGGTCAATGTTTAGTTTACTTGGTTAATGTTAAGTTTATGTGACAGTTGTAATAAAGCTTTATATTTAGGACTATCAACATAATATCAATGATTAGTAAAGAAGGCGAGACATTTCAGCGTGTGCACTCTTGTTCCAATGTTACTATTACATTTTGTAATCATAATCTTTATAATTTATATATTAGGAGTTGTATTGTGATTGCCAATGAAACTATCCATGAGAGTCCAAATGACATTGATGTTTGCAAGGTTATTTTATGACTCATGCCAAATATTCGGCTATTAACTTCTTTTTAAACCTCTATTAATACATAACATGTATGTGGTAATTTTTGTCTCACCTTGACGGGAGTCAAAAAGTGAGACTTATGTATGCTGTTTCCGACTTCGGCAGCGTAGTCAACGGCGTAAACAATGTACAAGTCTGTGATTAGGTCAGTTTGTGGGGAACCACTGTTGTTAGGTCAATGCTATTTGGTATGCAATTGTATTAGCATTGGCACATCTCATTTCCATGGAGATTATTTGGCCCCGCCTCCACAGTCATAATCTATTGACTGAAACTTTTGCTTAGTTTATATGTATTAATTTGTGATTAGGTCAGTTTAAGGGGGACTACTAGTGGTAGGTCAATGGTATTTGGTTTGTAGATGCATTAGCATTGGCACATCTCATTTACATAGAGATTATTTGGCTCTGCCCTCTCAGTCATGGTCTATTGACTTTGAATATTTTGCATAGTTCACTTGTTAAAGTTTGTGATAAGATCAGTTTAAGAGGAACCACTAATGTTAAGTCAATGATTTTCAGTATGCAGTTATATTAGTATGTGCAATTCTTTTCTCCATGGAAATTATATGTCCCCATTCCCTCATCATGGTTCATTGACCTTGAAACTTTTACATTGTTTACAATTTGAAAGTTTGTGTTTTGGTTAGTGTTAAGGGCACCACTTATGATAAAGTAATGGTATTTGGTATGCAGTTTTATAAGCATTGGCATTTCTCATTTCCATGGAGGTTATTTGGTCCTGTACATTAGTCATGGTTCATTGAATGTTTTGCATAGTTTACATGTTTAAATATTGCCATTTGGATTTAATATTTGCATTATACTACCAAAATAACAAAAAGGCAAGACATATCTCTGTGTCAACAGTTCATCTAACATTTATAAGATATTATTCATTATGCTTCTGGAAAAATTGTTGCTGTGTTGGTCGGTCCTTTGGTTCATCTGTGTGTCCAAAACATATGGTTTCCTAATGGTCACTTGATTTTTGTTTGCTTGGTTGGAATAAAACTTTTCAGAAGGAAGCCAAAGAGAAGGGGAAAAAATCTAAATTTGAGGTCAAATTTACTATAAATAGATTTTTTTGGGGGAAATGGTTAGATACTATATGTAATAGGTTAACTATGTTTGGTGTATGGAATGAATTTAGGGTTTACCTGACCTTGACCTTATTGTCATTGATCATTGATAACGTTAATCTTATGTGATACTTGCAGTAAAACCTTTATCTTTAAGACTTTCAACATTAAATCAATCATGGTCAATACAGCAGGCAAGACATTTCACTGTGTGCACTCTTGTTTAAATATTTAGTGCATTTATAACCTTATTTGACATCAAAATTGTCCAAAAAGTTCTAAAAGCTGACAAGCAAATTTGAATAAGGTAAAATTATTTTTGAAAATGCAAATTTGTAGGAAAGCAAGATTTTTGATATTTGTTTTACATAAAATAGTTTGTTGATTCATGTTGGAAATAGTTTATAAATTGAGTTATCATGAAGTAAAAGTACAAAGTAATTGTTTTTGTTTATTGAATAAATCAAAATGTTTATATCATCATTTGTCAGGTCTTTACAACATGAATTATGGCTCATCTGAAATTGTAAATTGTTTTCAATGTTTACTGTATTGAAGGAATATAGCTCAGAATCACAAGATAAAAATTTAAAAATAAAATTTTTGACATTATTTAAATATTAAATGATTCATCACTATGAAATCATTTGGTGTATGACAAGTCTATTACTTATTTTTCAGGACCTTACACAAAGTGAAAGAAATCATTTTTTCGGTGAAGTTCTACCAAAAATTGCAAAGTTAGCACTCAATTTGCCTCATTTATGTACTCAGGTAAAATTATTGATTTAGTATTAATAAGTAAAAAAAAGCATCCAGCATGATAGATTTATAGCAGATGACTATATATATATATATATATATATATATAGCTACTATCAAATACATGGAGGGAGAGTTATACATATATTAATAAAAGTTTTGAAATCTATTGAAATTACATTGTATTATTGCCAATATTAGACGTATTTGATAATTACTCGTTACAACTTTAGTGAGGATGATAAACTTGAAGAAATTCTCTGAACAAAAACCTATTTGATTAAATTGAAAAAGATGTGGTAAACTCACTTTCTTATCAATGCTTAGTCAAGACAAATCGTTCAAAGTTCAGACAATTAGAGATTGAGATACTATGTATATTTTCTAATATTGAAGACTATATTGTTGTTTAGTTGTTGTTCACGTCTCCATTTGACCTATGATGTTTGATGCCATTAAGTATAGAGACTGGTTGTTTTGGAGACCTATACTGTATGCAAATGCTTTGTTCACTGTTATTAACAATACCCTAAAATGCAGAAAATTACTCTAACCCATACTTACATTGTTTGATTGCTAACTCATTGATGTTTACCACATATCTCCTTTTATTGATATCAAGGAATTTTCAAAAACATTTGTATTACAATTTTAGCCCATTCCATTATTGAAGAAAGGGAAGACAAGGAGTATAACACTAAGCCAACAGCAGATAGCCTGTTTATTAGCTAATGCCTTCTTTTGTACATATCCACGTAGAAATGCTAAAGGGAAAAGTTCAGAATTCTTTAATTATCCAAGTATTAATTTTAATAGGTAAGTAAGAACAATCTTTTCAGGTCTTCAACCTGAAATTCTAAGAGGACTATTTAAACATCATTCATTCTGAAAGTAGAGAAATTTATGTGAGAGCATTTTAGTTTTCCATACAATATTGAAATATATTTCTCATTGAGAATAGTGAAAAATTTAAGTTTGAATTATCAAGCGAATGAAATAACCACTGCAAACAAAAAAAGGCCACAATTAAAAAAGTGTAGGGTTCCCCTGGCATTCTGTCAAGGTAATAGAGGAGCACAGGTAGGCATGTATTTTTAAAAACTTATCAGAGACTTCAGATGCTTCAATGTTTTATGTTTATCTTTCTGTATTTGAATCATAAATGGACTAAGTTTTTGGAGTCACCATTACACTTTTACACTGACATCAGCAATGACTGGCAAGACATTTGAGTTCAAGGTAACCCTTTACTTATGTGCTATGTCTTTTTTCTTCTTTTTTTTTAAAATAAAGTTTAGTCGTTGTCACCTTTCATCAAGAACAAAATTGCTGTATAAAAGAAACAACTACAATATAATTTTTATTCCATGGTTATTCCTTATAGTAAATAGTAATAGAAATATTTTATCATAAACAGATCTTTAAAGTTGCCATTCATACTTTAATATACAGTTTATGTTAACGTTAAGGAGACAAAGACAGATTAGTAAAAAGTATGATAGTAACCTGTAAGAGATGTCTCATTGGTAATCACACCACACCTCCTTATTTTTATATAACATAAATTCTTAAAATAACTTTTTCTTTACAGTTTATATGATGGAACTCCTAATTGTGTAAAATTGGAAAAATTAAAATGTATCATTCAGTACTTTTCAAGAGTCACCAAAAAAAGTAAGTAGTTCTAGATGTATTAATATTAAAAACCAAACAAAGGTTCAATTTTTGGTGTTTTTTTTTAAAATTGAAAAATTATTGAAATCCTCTGACATATTTTTGATTTTGGCTACTCTTTAAGATCATTTTAAATGTAGGTTTTAATTTATTTGAATCTGTGACTTTCCAAACCTTTTGCACTGAACTATGGTGAAAAACATTTTGAGGTCCGTGATCAATGTATTTGATTTTAATTTATCAAAAAATATTTACTATTTTCTGTTCGTTATATTTCTCTAAAAAAGGGGTACAAGATAAGCAGACCTCAGCTTTGCCAAAAGAAAAAAAATATGTAGACAACACACCACACAAAAAAACAAAGATGGAGCAGCAGGAAGGATAAGCAATTTCTGCTCCAATAATGACACCCATCATGTTCCTCGAGGCATGTAAATATCTGGGAATAAGAAGCATTCAATGTTGTCACAATCGAGGAAAAGAGGACAAAATTATGGTTAGGCAAAGTGGAACATATCCGTAGTAATCTGTTACACAGATGTTCCGTAAATAAAGGTCAACCAAATCATGACAGTGTCTATAAAACTTTTTAAAGAGATGACTTAACTTTACAATTAAGAAGAATTATAAATATTTTTGTTTTATTTATTCTTGCAGTGCCTACAGGACTTGTCACATTTACCCGCCAACATGTAGGTCTTATTGATTTCCCTAAATGGGACAACTTAGATACAACACTGAGAGACTTACATGTATCTGCTGAAGGAACCATAGAAGATGATGGGGAAGGACTTTTACAGGTAATATGTGTTCTAGATTCCAGATAAATTAAAGAGCAGTGTTACTATGTCCCCTTTGCCTAACATATTTTATCTGTTTAAGGACAATAACTTGAAAATTAATTTTGCATTAGCTCCTTTAAACTTTTCAAACTTAAATAGTTGATTGGCACTGCTCTATTAAAACTGACAAGAAATGTAGGTGTGAGAGCACTTACAATGCAGTTTGAACATAATTTCCAAGGGTATAACTCCTGAAAAAATAGTTGGTTGGTGTTGATTATGGAACTCTTCTGAAAATTGCTAAAATAAATCTTTGACATAATTTCACAAAAGTCTGACAAGAAATGTAGTCATTAGACTGCTTACAAAGAATTTCTCCATATAATCTTAATTTCCAAATAGCATGTAAATAGTTGATTGGTACTGATTGAATACATTAGAGACATGGCTGATATAAACCTTTCATATTAATCTCATAAAATCTGGTGTTATAATTCCTGTAAAAGTAGTTGATCAGTGCTGATTTTGAAACTTTCCTAAAACAATGTTGATATTTTATCCTAGACATTGCTGATTTAAGCCTTTGATATAGATTTCATAACAATGTTACAAGAAATAAATGTGTAAAAATGCTTTCAAGAAGTGATGGACGCTAATATTTCTATGTTCCCCACTCAACTGTTGTGGCAAGGAACAAAAAATGAAATTATTTTACAAAAAAAAAACATATTCTTAAAGTACTTTTTATGGCACATTTAATTGTGTACTTTCATATTTTGCATACAGAATATTTTTTTTTTATTGCAACAAAAAAGTTTTCTATGAAAAAAGGAAGAATTGTTAAAAACAAATACACTGATTACAGAGTTCAAAAATAAAAATAAAGAGATTTGCCAATGAGACAACTATCCGGCAAACAAGGATGTAAACAATGATCAGACACTGTACGGCCTTCAACAATGAGCAAAACTATACTGTATAATAAGCTATAAAAGTCCAAGGCATGACAAAATGTTATAGACAAAAAACACAAGGTACTAATCTAAGATAACTGAAAACTACTGTGGATTCATTTATTTTCGTTGGTACCAGTTTTTGTGGATTGGGGAAAAATCGTATTTTCGTGGATATTTGATTTCGTGGTTTTGCTAAAGGCTACATACAAGCCAACAGAGAATTCCTTCTTCGTTGAACTTTAAACTGGTGGTTCACCTATACCCTCGAAATCAACAAAAATTAGTATCCCACGAATATAATGAGTCCACAGTAGTTCAAAGCCAATTCCAATAAATGAGTAAACCATATTTTCTCAGAACAAAATTTCAATCAGAACACATCCAAAAGGTTAAGTTTAAAGACTTCATAAACAGTGAGAAAAAAACGAAATTTATTTTAGTAATTCAAAGTTCTTACTACAGTGTTAAAGCGATAACCTTTCAGAATAAGTTTATTCAAAGGATCTCTGTAAGCTGGAAGGTTACATCAACATTGCACAAGAAGTATTCTTACAGTAACTGTAACTTTGTATAATTATTTACAGGTTGATTTTGCCAACAAATATTTAGGAGGTGGAGTTTTAACCCATGGTTGTGTTCAAGAAGAAATAAGATTTTTAATTTGTCCTGAAATGATCATATCACGGCTGTTCACAGAAGGTCTTGAAAAAAATGAAAGTTTGATAATGAAAGGTAAAAATCTTAGCATTTGAAAAAAGGGAAAATATACTTATATATGAAACAACATTTTTTTTTAACAATTTGCAAGTTTTGTTTGTAGAACATAATTGCTGTTTAGTTTTATTTCAAAATATACATGATAGCTATTGTGATGAGCAGTATATTTTTAATATGAATATCTACTAAGTCTTTTAATTTGTTAATATCTACATCTGTCATCATTCCATATTTTTATATGGGGGAATAATCTAAGGAAACACAACACAACAGTAAGTTGTATTAATAGAAAATTAAGAACTTTTAAAAAAATTGGAAAATCAAATGAAGACCTTGTATAAAAGAAAGTAAAAAAAAAAGGAAGAATTAAAAAAAAAATGAAAAAGACACAAAAGGAGCAATAAAAAAAAAAAACTACAAGGAAAAGTAAAAAATTAGCAATACCAATCAAAAATTAGGGGGATCAGTTGTTCAGGAAGGGTCCCAACAATATCCACACCTGTTGGGTTAGTCCTGTTAAAATCATTTGATGAAACATATGCAGTAACTTCTATACTCGTACTATGAACAACAAATTTATTTATTTTGTAAAAAATATTGCCGTACTATCAACAAAATTATTATATTTAAATTTACCTGTGTACGTTATTTTATTTAACACAATTTTGTCCCAGGTTAGAGTTGTCTTTTTGACATTGTTTTACATCCTGTTTTTTATTAATATTGTATTTATATTGTGTCATAGATTTATTCGTTCAGTGTATGTTTACTTGTTTTTGTTAATATGTCTTTTTGATCGAGTTAAGCCATTTCAATTGATATTTTATAGTGTGTCTTTCTATGTTGTAATGTTACACTACTGTTTCAGGTTAGGGTGAAGGTTGGCGCCTGTTAAAACATTACAACCCAACCAAAGAGCCGAAAACAGCTCTAGGCCACCAATGGGTCTTCAACACAGCAAAAACATCTCGCACCCGGAGGCGGGCTTCAGCTGGCCCCAAACCAATAATGTATACTATTTCATTAAAATGGACGCCACACTAAACTCCGAAACATAAATAAACTAAAATTAAAAATGCACAAGACTAACAAAGGCTAGAGGTTCCTGACTTGGGACATATGTATAAATGCGGCAGGGTTAAACATGATTTGAGATATCTCAACCCTCTCCCTATACCTCTAGTCAATGTGGAATAAACAAACTCACAGCAATACGCACAGTTAAATTCAGTTTAAAAGAAGTCCGAGTCCAATGTTGGAATAAGTATCAGAAGAAACTAAGCAAAATGACAATGATCAACATAGTTTTTATGTCCAAATTTTGTTTTTTGTAGGTATTTCTTGTCGGTTTTTAGCAAAAACAAACAACAATTCCTTACATGTTAGATATCCTTCTCAAAAGTAATACATTTGGTATGAAAAATAATATGTACAAAAATTGGATACATTCAAGAGTAATCTATTTTACACAAAAACCACTCCAACCAAGGTATGAAGAAGAACAATGGAAATTGACATTTGAGTTTGATGGTTACTATCACGAATTGGGTGACTGATAAGATGTGTCTGTGCCTTGACTAACTAGCGACATGTCTTAGATATTTAGATACCAGTATAGTTGTCTGATCTGTAAGTTCCCGTATCCTATTCCCTCAGTTTGTGTTTGTTACCTTGATTTCTCTCTTTCTGATCAATTACGAGATATCAAAATCAATAAACTACTGTCACCTTAAATAAACAGTTTTTTATTAGAATTCCGATTATTCCAGATTTAAAAATAATATTTTATAATGATGACCAGTTATTGAAGTTCCTTTATCATGAAGTTCTTGCTATATTTATATCAAAGTTTGTCTCCTATGTAACTATAATATTTTATATAACTATCCTTTATCAAGTCTTTTTCCTACAAAAAAAGTCAAGCTTGAAACGTTTTTTTGCAAGTGTTCCCTTATATCAGGGTTGGCAAAGTTTTACTCAGGCTTGAAAATGCAGGTTAGAAAACAAGGGTTTTCCCAGACTAGGCAATACTCCCAGAAATGGGTAATACTTGGCAATTCTGGGCAGTATAATTTTTAAGCCTATTTTTACACAAAATAGTAAAGAAATACTGAAGTTTTCATAGTATTATTGCTTAATATATATATTTTATACAGATAAACATTGAGAGTCATTTTCAGAGGATGATACAACTCAAGCTCTTTCTTTTCTCCAATGATTCGATCTATATGTAGGCAGAATACAATTAAGTTTTGCAAATTCTGGCCACCAAAGTTTATTTCCCATTTTTGTTTAAATCAATCCAAAGTTTGAAAAAAATGCATTTTAATGTAGTATTAGTAAAGTGACTTTGAAAATTTAATTGCTATACAATCATATTGCTAAATATACACCATAATGGTACATGTCATGTTACCCACAGTTATAGAGATGAAAAAGCCAATTATTGCAATAAAAACAAATCTGTGTAATAATCTGAATAATTGCTTATTATTAAGTGGTGTTCATATAAGTATGCTAAAATTATTTCAACACTAAAAATAGTAATGAACAAAAATTGTTGAATAGTCATTTCCTTTACATATAATAAATTGTTTACTCTAAATATTAGCTATATATATAAAAAAAGTTATATATATTGATACTTTGTCTACATGTTAACAGTTTGACCAATTAAGACAGAATGACAATTTAATAAATTTTTACAAGTTGTTTGTCTAAAGAGTTGCTGGACCAACACCTTCTCAAATTTATACACTTTGAAATAAGAGTCTCAAAAAAGTGAGCATATACATTAAAATATTAGATTTATACATAAAAATGTCATGTAATATATATCTTTTATGTATTGCATTTGTAATTGACATATTACCCAGTATTGCCCAGTATAACCCAGTAAAACCTGAGATTTTCCAGTATTCCGGTTTTCCGTAGGGTCACTAATCTTTCATTTTCTATGTTGTTTTTTTAAGACTCGTTTGTCTTTCGTCGTTTTTCGTTGTCCATTTGCCGTATCTTCTACCTATCTTTTAAGTATTTTTGCTGTACATGAATGATTGATTTGAATATTTTTAGATGCTGGTCATCCAATTATCTACTCATCAATTTCATTAATCTAAGAAGATTTTTTAGAACCATATATTTGGAAAGGCAAAATGAACTGCTGAAACTTGATTCAGGGTTGTATGTAAAAATATGACATATGATTTTGTTTAAAATGGCTTTCTGTTCTGTCCCCATCAATCCTCGTCCCTCACCTGTCTGTCGTTAAACATTTTCAAAATTCTCATTTAATACCATAGGATCCTTTTGTGCATGCTTTATGAATAAATTTACGACACAAAACCAAAAGATATCCCGAGGTCAACATACTGCCTTCAACAATATATAAATATTTATACATTATGGCAAGGTTTTCACAGACAAGACCCTAGTAGAGTTGTTAATTAATTTAGCTGAGATTACCAAGATTAACCATCAACATCTCATTTCCCAAATAACAAGAAACATTTAGAAATATTTAAAAAGAAACGTTCATGATCGGGACGTGCACATGACTATTTGGCGGGATTTTACAATATAAAAATAAGGAGATGAGGTATGATTGCCAATGATACAACTATCCACCAAAGTTCAAATGAAGTGGATGAAAGCTGGCCCCTAAACACAAATGTATTCTTTTAAACTGAGTTTTACTGTGTGTATTGCTGTGTTTTTGTTTATTCTACATTGGCTTAGTAGAGGTATAGAGGGAGGGTTGGGATCTCACAAAACATTTTCAACCCCGCCACATTTTTGTGCTTGCATTGTTAGTCTTGTATGTTTTTTTAATTTTAGTTCATTTATATGTTTCAGAGTTTAGTGTGACGTCCATTTTCACTGAACAAGTACACATTTTTGGACTCCGGGTGCGGAATTTTCTCGCTGTGTTGAAGACCCATTGGTGGCCTTGGGCTGTTTTCTGCTCTTTGGTCAGGTTGTTGTCTCTTTGACACATTCCCCATTTCCATTTTCAATTTTTGTTCAGAGAAAATGGACGTCACTCTAAACTCTGAAACATATAAATGAACCAAAATTAAAAAAATATACAAGACTAACAAGGCCAGAGGTTCCTGACTTGGGACAGGCGCAAAAATGGGGCGGAGTCAAACATGTTTTGTGAGATCTCAACCCTTCCCCTATACTTCTAGCCAATGTAGAATAAACAAACACACTGCAATAATCCGATGTTAGAATGTTAGAATAGGTATATATGGTAAATGCAATGACTTTTTATAGGTTCCACTCCTAATGTTGCCTTGGTTGCCCCCCCCCCCCCCCCCTCCCCTTTTTGAAAATCATGAATCTGCATCTATTCTTTCTGTTTTCTAACCTAAGACATTTGGTATATGGAAATTCTCTAATTCTAGTGCATGACCAAATATGAAAATTTGAAATGAAAAGAGGTTATTCTGGACATAAGGTTATTCTGGACATAGTATAGACAAGACCATTACTGATAGAAACAACACACACATTGACAAATAAAATAGCACAGATACAACACTTAATACTATATACATTGTAAAAGCAACTTACACCTGTTAAGAATAAAACTAGGGGTGAACACTGGTGTTATGAAAGGGTTAGCAGTGCCTCCTCCACTAGTGCCAATATGGGAAGGTAAAAATATGAGTATAAATAAGAAGATGTGTGTGAGTGCCAATGAGACAACTATGAAATAACTAGCATAGTACTCTTTGAAGCTGTAGTGACAACAATTATCAATTCAATATCTAGTTGAAGTGATGAACCTGAAGTATTATCTGAACATATTTTCTGCAGGTTGTGAAAGGTTTAGTTCATATGATGGATATGCTAGAACTTTTGAATGGAAAGGAGACTATGATGACTCTAAAACTCCAAGGTATGATAAAAAACACTGTAGTTATAAATTAAATGAGTCCCAGTTATTGTCAGTTTTGATGCACAGATGGCAGTCCTGACTCCCTTAGATAAACAGTAGGTGGAGATTTGATTGGAACTTTTATTTGGCACCTGAAATTAAAGTAGTACAATTTTTCAGTCTTTTTAATATTATATCATGATTGATTTTAGGTAGGCTAAAATTTTGGTTTAAGGATGTTCGCTACTCTTGTTTTTATACGACCGCAAAAAAATTTTTGTGGTCGTATATTGGTATGACGTTGGCGTCGTCGTCGTCGTCGTCCAGCGTCGTCCGAAGACACTTGGTTTTCGCACTCTAACTTTAGTTTAAGTGAATGGATCTTTATGAAATTTTACCACAAGGTTCAATACCACAAAAGGAAGGTTGGGATTGATTTTGGGGGTTATGGTAATAACAGTAAAGGAATTAGGGGCCAAAAAGGGGCCAAAAATAAGCATTTTTGTAACTTCCAGACATAACTTGTGTGTTAGTGTATGGATCTCTCTGACATTGTACCACAAGGTTCCATATCACTAAAGGAATGCTGGGATTGATTTTGGGGGTAATTGCCTCCAAATTTTAGGAATTAGGGGCCAAAAAAGGGGCAAAAAACAAGCATTTTTCTAGTTTCATGACAATAACTTGTGTGTAAGTGTATGGATCTTTCTGAAATTGTACTACAAGGTTCCATATCACAAAGGGAAAGCTGGGTTTGAGTTTGGGGGTAATTGCCCTAAACGTTTAGGAATTTGGGACCAAAAAGGGGCCAAAAAACACATTTTTTTCTAGTTTCCAGACAATAACTTGTGTTCAAGTGTATGGATCTCTCTGAAATTGTACTGCAAGGTACCATACCACAAAGGGAAGGCTGGGATTGAGTTTGGGGTGATGAATCATAATGGGGGTTCAAAAAATTTTGGGGGGGGATTTATTTTTTTTTCCTTTTTTTCTTTTTTTCCTTTTTTGTTTCTTTTAAAATTTTCCATTTTAAGTTGGTTATTTCTGATTTATATTTAAAATCAAATAATAATGATATGGTAGGAGATACACACCAAACAGGATGTGTAAATTATTATATAATAAGTATTGTGCAATAGCAAGAAATTTTCAATTGCACAGTATTGCACAATAGCAAGAAATCTTCAATTGCACAGTATTGCGCAATAGCAAGAAATCTTCAATTGCACAGTATTGCGCAATAGCAAGAAATATCCAATAGCACAATATTGCGCAATAGCAAGAAATTGTCAATTGTACAGTATTGCGCAATAGCAAGAAATATTTAATAGCACAGGATTGTGCAAAAGAAGATACTTCCTATAAATTGCTTATTTCTTGACCAATTTCAATGGGGTTTTATTTTTGATTTCATGGGGTTCTTTAATATGCTGAATCTAACCGTGTATTTAGTTTTTGGATTTTGGGCCCCGTTTTTAAATTGGTCCACATTGAGGTCCAAAGGGTCCAAAATTAAACTTTGTTTGATTTCATCAAAAATTGAATTATTGGGGTTCTTTGATATGCCGAATCTAACTGTGTATTTAGATTCTTAAATTTTGGTTCCGTTTTCAAATTGGTCTACATTAAGGTCCAAAGGGTCCAAAATTAAACTTAGTTTGATTTTAACAAAAATTGAATTCTTAGGGTTCTTTGATATGCTGAATCTAAACATGTATTTAGATTTTTGATTATGGGTCCAGTTTTCAAGTTGGTCCAAATCGGGGTCCAAAATTAAACTTTGTTTGATTTCAACAAAAATTAAATATATGGGGTTCTTTGATATGCTGAATCTAACCATGTATTTAGATTTTTGATTTTTGGGCCCCGTTATCAACTTTGTCCACATTGAGGTCAAAAGGGTCCAAAATTAAACTTTGTTTGATTTCATCAAAAATTGAATTATTGGGGTTCTTTGATATGCCGAATCTAACCGTGTATTTAGATTCTTAATTTTTGGTTCCGTTTTCAAATTGGTCTACATTAAGGTCCAAAGGGTCCAAAATTAAACTTAGTTTGATTTTAACAAAAATTGAATTCTTAGGGTTCTTTGATATGCTGAATCTAAACATGTATTTAGATTTTTGATTATGGGCCCAGTTTTCAAGTTGGTCCAAATCGGGGTCCAAAATTAAACTTTGTTTGATTTCAACAAAAATTGAATATATGGGGTTCTTTGATATGCTGAATCTAACCATGTATTTAGATTTTTGATTTTTGGGCCCCGTTATCAACTTTGTCCACATTGAGGTCAAAAGGGTCCAAAATTAAACTTTGTTTGATTTCATCAAAAATTGAATTCTTGGGGTTCTTTGATATGCTGAATCTAACCATGTATTTAGATTTTGGATATTGGGCCATAATAGGTGAATGTCCAATTTAAAATTTTTAAGTTCTTAGACCACATTCAATCTGTGTTAGAAACCTATGCTGTGTCAAATATTTAATCACAATCCAAATCCAAAGCTGTATCAAGCTTGAATGTTGTGTCCATACTTCCCCCAACTGTTCAGGGTTCGACCTCTGCGGTCGTATCAAGCTGTGCCCTGCGGAGCATTTTATTTTAATTTTTGCCAGATATTCGGAAACCTCTGGTTTTATCCATGTAGTGTCATTAAAAAAATTTGCCCGCTTACCCCTACTTTTCTTTTCATATTTTCATTACATATAGTTTAAAAAACGATATTTGAAAATCTTATAAAATCCTTGTTATTTTTTCATAGTTTTTGAAATAAAAAAGTGCTAATGTTAAATGTATGAAAAATCTAGAGAGAACTATTTCCCGCCAAATATTCAGTGGCTTATATCTTGAAAACAAGCACACGGACCCTTCATTTTTTTCTGCTTTTCTAGTTCCTTTATTTATATACTTTTAATTTATAACAGTCTTTTAAAAATCTTGTTATTTTGAAACAGAGTAGCGAACATCCTTAAGGTAGTTTGTGGTCACAGCAACACAAAACTTAGTACACATGTTCATTATGAAGTTAACTGTTTATTAAATATATATGCCAAGTTAAGGTGTTGTCAAGATTTCACAGTTCATTGAATGTAGGAATTGGATAGAGGGAGCTGGTAATAGTGTCCTATGTGTCTCTTTTATTGTCAGTGTTTTTCTTCTTTTTATATTTTATTTGATTTGTATTTAATACTTTTGTTTTAGAACAGTAATTTTTTTTTCGCTGTAAATTATAAAAGACTTGATCCTTTTACGTCTTGCTTGTTAACCTTTTGTATATCTATTAAATGTGAATTTTTACAGTGATATAACCAGTATGTTCGATAGCAATGTATAAAGCAATGGTCATTAATCTAGGAGATCTGTTTACTGAAGAAGTGTTATTCATCTACAAAACAACCAATAAATTTTATTTTCAGAGATGATTGGGGAAGATTGTGTACCCATGTGACTGCCATTGATGCCTTGGTTATCCACCATTATGATAGACAGTTTAAAGGTGATATAGTAAAAAGAGAATTAAATAAGGTAGGTACTATTTAGTTTTTATTGTTGTGTTGCTGTATAATTTGCATTGATTCATATTTTAATATCTTTTAATTTTGACTGGCTTTATTATATAATGTAAATTCAATTTTTAATTACATTTGTAGTCACAGAATATTTTGTTCATAAAATAATGAGATGTTGAATAAATGCCATTGAGATAAATAGCCAACAGAAATAAAATGATGTAGATGTAAGCCATTATAGGTCACCAATCGGCCTTCACAATGAGAAAAACCAAAACGGTAAACTCAGCTATAATAGGCATCAACATGAAAAATGTGAACCAGTTCAAATGAAAAAACTAACAGCCTAATTTATAACAATTCAATATACACGCACAAAAATAATGTGGAGGGGTTAAACATGTTTGTGAGCACTCAACCCTCCTAATCTTGGACAGTGGTGAAACAGCACAACATGAGAACAAGCATTAAAAATTGGAAATAAAAAATAAAGTAGATTTTATAGAACTATTTTTGCAGATTTATTAAACAAAACAAATTATGTTTTGTGATCGGCTGTATTTATTTGATGTATTGGGAAATTGGGAATTATAACAAAACAAGACTTCAATATAATTGAAATGCATTTGAAATGTTCTGTATATTTTTAAGTATTTTTTGATAAGCTATGGAAATCCAGTTTAGGTAATTGGAATTGTGACACTTATGAGATGGGCCTTGGCTTGAGTATGTATTCTGCCCAGTACTTCCAGATTTATTATCATCATATGTTTACAAGTAATTATCGTCACTCATTGTATGCTCTTTGTATCTATCTGAAATTATTTTCTTTTTACAAACTAAAATGTGGGTTAATTTCCATGTTGGTAAAACAAAATGAAATATTATTTCACTATTGATTAATTATCCATAAGTTGTATGTTAACCAATCAAAATATTATAGCATACTATTTTGTAATTATTACATAGTTAGATTTGGAAATGATTAATTATGTTAATTTGTTTCATAGGCCTACTGTGGATTTGTGTCACTTGGAGGAGCAAAGAATCCCCCTCATGAAATAAATTTATCTGCGGTCTGTACTGGTAATTGGGGTTGTGGTGCTTTTGGTGGAGATAAAAAATTAAAAGGTAAAATACAGAAACTAATTGAGGAGTAAAATTTGAAGATTTGAACATCAACAAGAATTGAAAAATGAAAAGAGCTCACAAATTCATACTCTTGCTTACGGTTTGCACCAAAATCCATAAGTGTTATTTGAATCGCCAAATTTTATTTGCAACACAATAAAAAATATGATGGAACAATGACATAATACACTGATATACAAAGACATTTGAAAAAATTTCTTAAATCAATGGTTAAGAAGAAGTTATGGATACAAACTGCAGACAAACAAACGAATGAATGCACAACAGACACAGCAGTCACTGCACTTCACTAAGACAAGGCTATAAAAATATTGAAGAATAAAGAGCTAAACATATGAAAATTGAAGAATACCTGACATTTTCCTGAATGGTAGCCATTTTAAATGGAAAAGGATAAGCTAAAGAAGATTTTCTACAACCATACCTTACACTCATATGACAGTCACATAATTACATATATTTTGAAATACCCCAAACCATCTTAATCTTATTTGAATACTTCAATTTGATCTGACAGACACATATTACATGTTTTTGTCTCGCCTTGACAGAGTCAAAAAGCGAGATATATGTATGCTGTTTCCGGCGGCTGCGGCGGCATCAACAATGTATTAGTTTGTGATTAGGTCTATTTCATGGTGAACTACTAGTGGTAGATCAATGATATTTGGTATGCAGTTGTATTAGCATTGGCACATCTCATTACCATGGAGATTATTTGGCCCCGCCTCCTCAGTCAAGGTCTATTGACTTTGAAACTTTGCTTAGTTTACATGTATTAGTTTGTGATTAGGTCAGTTTATTGGGAACCACTAGTGGTAGGTCAGTGATAATTGGTATGCAGTTGTATATAAGCATTAGCACATCTCATTTTCATGGAGAATGTGTTGGCTAGAAACTTAGGGTGTGGAAATATACTAAGGCAAATGCGTATTCCAGAGAAAGTTTATTAATCTTTATTATATCCAGTGAACACAGTAAACACAGTGATATTCTAATAAAGTTCAATACATCATAATACGTTCCATATTTAATTCCTCAATACGAATACGTTCCATACAAATACGTCATACTCTAAATACGGTAAATACGATTTACTGAAAAGAAAACAGAAAAATACTGTCATTCACTTGAATAATAAAAGTTCAAAACATGCAAAATACATGTTATCCAGAGAACAATAAACAAATGTATATATATCAAAAATTGTAAACATCTTGTTTTACCCAGTGAAAATACATAAAAACGATATTAACCACAAATCAATGAAACATCATTGACACAAAAATCTAATTATCGATTCGCACTTTACAACCTGTGAAATATCTATTTATAGAAATACAACATGCGTCTGAGAGGACTTTGAAATTATATTCACTGAATAAAGTTCTTAACCTCATGCAATACAACTCAGACAAGTTACGGAAGGTTTATACAATAATTTCAATACAAAAAACTCACCAAATTAGAAATATTTCCATGAAATTTCAACACATATTTGTCAAGTTATTGGCGTCATTTTCATTCGGAACTCTCTCATAATCACTGTACATGAATAGTGAATCGACAAAAAATATGTTTATGAAAATTGACATTACAGAGAATATTTGGTCCTTACCCCTCAGTCATGGTCTATTGACTTTGAAACTTTTGCTTAGTTTACATGTATTAGTTTGTGATTAGGTCAGTTTAAGATGAACCACTAATGTAAAGTCAATGATATTGGGTATGCAAATGTATTGGCATTTGTAAGTTTCATTTCTATGGAGATTATATAACCCCACCCCCTAATTATGGTTCATTGACTTTGAAACTTTTACATAGTTTACAAGTTAATGTTTGTGTTTAGGTTTGTTTAAAGGGAACGTCAATGGTATTTGGTTTGCAGTTGTATTAGCATTGGCACATCTCATTTCCATGGAGATTGTTTAGCCCTGTACCTTCAGTCATGGTTCATTGACTTTGAATATTTGCATAACTTACATGTTAAAGTATTGCTATTTTAATTTCAACATTTGCATTATCAAAATAACAAATAAGCGAGACATATCTCTGTGTTAACAGTTTATTATACATTAGATATGAGTGGAGTATGCTTAGCAGGACAACATGTGAAACTTCTTGTTTTCTTATATAATGCAAATATGAAAAATTTTGAACTGCTATTCAGTCAAGAGTGCCATCAGGGATCTATACATATAACAGCTGTAGTTCATCAAATCTCTAACTGGAATGAATTTTGTCAAAGTTTGGAAGGGGACACCCCTCAGCACTCTCCTGAATCTGACAGATGTAACATGTTGTATATTTCAGCATTAATCCAATTAATGGCAGCTACAGCAGCTAAGAGGGATGTATGCTATTATACTTTTGATGATGAAAGACTAAAGAATGATATATTCAATATACACCAATATCTTACTGTCACAAATCCTTTAGGTATAGGTAAGTATAGTTTACTGCTGTAAATAGATTGGAAACAAAGTAATGGTACTGACTGAAAGTTATGATTTGTGTATGTTGAAATACTGATAGATAACCACAATCATACTGAATTGATGAGGGCTATTCCATTAAACATATGTTGGATAGAAAGGATTTTTTTGGGCTCTGATCATTTGTGGTTATATATCCATTTGATATATGCAAAACTACTAGAAGAAAGTACGTTTGTTGTTGGGTACTTTGAAAGTCCATTCCTATTTTCTCACATCCAGTTTAATAGAATAGCCCCAACATCACAATGCATTTTCTGACAAAAAAGTTAAGAATTTGGAAATTGTCATGTCTGTTTTATAGTTTGAATTTGATAAATTGTCCTCTTTTAAAATCAAAAATATTAAATTGAATCCATTTAAATGAATCCTTTAATTAAAAAAGAGAGGCAAAAGGAACATTCAAACTCATAAGTCAAACACAAACTGACAATGCCATGGCAAAAACCAAAACTTTCCAAAGACAAAACAACATTATACAAAACATGACATAGAAAACTAATGATAAAGCAACACATATCCCACCAAAAACCCGGTGGCACTCAGATGCTCCGGAAGGGTAAGCAGATCCTGCTCTACGTGTGGCACCTGTCGTTTTGCTCATGTAGGTTCAAACCTGGTAATAAATCCCGGGACTGTGATTACTACAATTGGAACATATCCATCATCATCAGTGAAACAGATATTCCATAAGGGTCAACCAACTTGTGATGGTGTCCGTAAAATTTTTGAAGGGATGATTACAACTTCACCACTTATAACTCCTGGTTTACTAGATTCTTTGTCAGCAGCAACTCTCTATCAAGGAAATCATGATAGGAAATGCAAGCTCTGGAATATCTTATCAACTGGGAAACATATACTCCATATACTTCATTATGTTTGTTTTTTTGTCATATGTATGCAAATTTGGTAATTTTCCCAATAAATTCACTTCTTTCTTTAAGAGTTCTTAAAATAATAATTACTTGTCTGATAAGAATGAATGATTACATTTAAAAGTATAAATGAGTGTACGACACAAATGCCCCCGTCTACAATTTGTCGACTAGAACTTAATCTAAACACTCAATCTGTATATCATCATTGAACACTTATATACCAAATCTCAATTTCAGATCTTCCACCATAAAAAAGGTCAATTTTCATGTAGTTTTTATAAGTCCAAGGACCTTATTTCAGTGTAAATTTTATCAACAACTGTGAAAGTACTTTAAACACATTATATTTTCAACTTGCATTATGCTTTCAACTTGCAGTGGCAGAATTAAATGTTGAAATAGCGTTTTGAGTTATAGAAAATTGCAATGAAGATATGGATTCGCATTGTTTCTAGATTTCTAGCAGATACTTCCATAACGTTATGAGTTTGCATACACTTGCAATTCATGCAGACATGTATTCATATGACGTAATAAATTGACATACATTTGCAATTCTCACATATACTCATATAACGTTGTGAGTAGGCATGTATTCATATAACATTATAAGGAGACATATATTCATATAACGTTATGAGTTGACATACATTTTTCATTTAGATATATATTCACATAACGTTAGGAGTTACTGTAGACATGACTTGTATTCATATAACATTATAAGTAGACATGTATTCATATAACGTTATGAGTTGACATACATTTCCAATTGAGATATGTATTCGTATAAGTTATAACTTTATGAGTTGACAAACATTTCCAATTGAGATATGTATTCACATAACGTTTTGAATTTATAATATATATGTATTCACATAACGTTACGAGTTGACATACATTTCCAATTTGGATATATATTCATACAATGTTATTTAAGGAATGACTGTAATATTTTTTCTGTCTATGAAGAAATAACATCAAAAATGTGGTGCACACTGAATAACCCGCGTAGCGAGTTATTTTAAAGTGTGCACCACATTTTTTATGTTATTTCGAATAGACAGAAAAAATATTACAGTCATTTCTTATAATTTAATTCTGAATTCCATTTCAAACCTGAGTAAACCATGAAAAAACGTTGATGACGTCACGGTCACATGACAAAATTATGTCTATGAGCTGATAAACAAAACAACGTCAGCCAATCAGAAGACGCGTTACATCCAAAATTAAATTATAAGTTGACATACATTTACAATTAAGCCATGTATTCATATAACGTTATGAGTTGACATACATTTGCAATTTATATGTGTATTCAAATAGCGTTATGAGTTGCCAAATACTATTAGTTACATAGTGTGCTAGTGACCTAATACGGTATATATGGGGTCAGTAAATTCCATATGGGGTGAGAGCGAAGCTCGAATCCCAATATGGAATTTACTGACCCCATATATACCGTATTACGTCACTAGCACACTATGTAACGAATTTATCTTACCGACTATCTTAACGTGTGAAATTTAAACTAGTGACCTATCAAAATGAGCAAGTCTTCAATACCGTTAGCATTAAGAAACTACTTCCATTAATCCTACAAAAACAGATGCCAACAATAACAACTTGTTAGGTTTAAATGTGTTTTATAAATTTATTTCAATCTTCATCATCAATTTCTTCGTCTGTTGAAACCTTTAAGATGTTTTCTCAGTACCGTTTTGTTTTTATAAAGGGACGTAACACCACTACTAACCGTGTATGAAATAAGCCCCGCCTCCCTACTAACCTAATATGGAATATACACGGTCTCCACGCGGACGCTTTCAACCAATCATATTCCTAGAAATGTATAGGAGGTAAGATAATTGCAATTTCATATATGTATTCACTAAACGTTAAGAGCTGACATACTGTTTGATAAAAGATACGAATTGTCTTACCGTTACGAGTTCTATGCTTTTACAGCATCATTCGTCCTGGATCATACCACAGCTTACATTATATTCATATAACATTATGCGATAACATAATGATGTGTTGTACACACAAAGTTTCAAATTCCTAGATCTATATTTCAAAAAAGCATGATGAATCTCAATATTATATACTGTAACCTAAATTGAAGGCTAATAACATTATTTGATAACTCATTTTGACAGGAATGCACAGAAGCGAATCGAGACTTTCCAAACCTTTTTTCAGCATTATCGAAATTGGTATAACAATAAAGGGGTAAACATAGTTTGATGAAGATCATTAGAAAATAAAGTGAATTCTAAGGTTTTCTTTAAATTTCTTTGCTGATTCAAATGAAATTGCCCATGACAGCGGATTGATGCATGGACAGACCACTAAATTACTCCACTTCATTAAGCAAGGGTAAATGAATCATTGTTTTGAGCTGATTTTTATGTGGTGTTGAGGGTGTCTAATACATCCCTAGTTGTCCAACGTGAAGTGTATTAAAAAGTGGGGCTTGGCCAACAAGTGCTTTTTTAAAAAAATTGCTCTGTAGGGCGCAGCTTGATACGACAGCAGAGGTCTAACCATGAACAGACGATGCAAGTATGAACAAAACATTCACGCTTGATACAGTTCTGAATGAGGATTGTGAATAAATATTTGCTGAAACCGCAATCAAGCAAAGTTAAATTTGGACCCTTTGGACCTTAATGTAGACCAATTTGATAACGAGCCCAAAATTCAAAATCTAAATCCAGCATATCAAAATACCCAATACATTTATTTTTTGTTGAAATCAAACAAAAACTTTTTGACAACTTTAAAAATTAGGCTCAAAATAAAAAAATCTAAATACATGTTTAGATTTAGGATATCAAAGAACCTCAAGAATTAATTGTTTGTTAAATTCAAATTCAAAGTCCAAGTCAACATATTTAGTCTGGAACAACTGTACTATACTGTCCCATAACGATCTGTGTTCCGACGAAAGCGCATTAAACCAGGTTAGAGCCGGTCCAGTCAAATGCAAATGCAAATGCAATGCCGCAATTTTGCGATTATCGTCCAATGTTGAAATGTTATGAAGGGTTGCATAAGACTCAAATTCCGATATAAATATTGCCGCATTTTCATGAGGATAGTCCCTAAATTTCCGACAGTTCGCCAATTTCCCCATTTGTTCGTTATTAGCAGTATTTAAATAAGTAGGTAAAACTAGTTTTGGGGATGGAGTAAGTAAGTAGGTAATATCAGGATCACATATCTGATTGAGCGACAAAAATTCATTGGATAAATAAGAACATGGGTAATCAGTTTCTAGAGAATGTTCAGAATACTGAGACAGAGGTGATATTGAAACTGGTAAAGGCAGTAGAGGTGTGTCAGGCGAATATACTGGTCTAATTCCAAATTCGATTTCACTGTCGTACCCGTCGTCGGAAAAGTTTACAGATACTGGATTTGAATTCATTTACAAGTTTATACTACCCAAACTTAAGAATTTACACGTACACGTAGCGAGTTTATTCTCACATACCTGAAAGAAAGATGCATCAGCACATTAACAAATATAAAATCTTTATATATTTATTTCGTGATACGATTTATGTCTTCGTGTAGCAAGATAATTCTCGCATACACTGAAAAATGCACCAGCCCATTTACTATCAGATAATTGCAGCGAGACAAATTCTCACATACAAAACTTAATTCCTGAAGTGACAAACATGACAAACAAGTATCTAAAATGTGAACTACAATCTGCGAGACTCATCAGAAATAAAATTTACTTTCTACATCAAAAATGTCTGCCTCTTACGACCACGTGTTTCTCCTTCAACAGAAAAATCCCAACGTCATCCAGTGATGTACATCAATCTACCGACTTGAAAACGTTCCCAACAGTACCTGGTCATCAAATAATTCTATTGTCCATCTTTAAAGTCATTTTTTCATGCATTACGGGATTGAAAATTTTATCTTAGTTTTTCCTTTTTTTTGTATCCACATTTATAGTTCGTGATATAAAGTATTCGTTCCCTGCTCAGCTCAGATTAACGAAGAGTTGTTTCTATGCGAAGAAACGAGTGTTTGGATTACC